GTACACACACCGGCGGAGGGAAAACATGGTGGCCAACTGGTTGCGGCATTCATCAGAGGCGGTGCTCCGCGTACCTTTTGAGATCTCCTCTTTTTTACCGTTCTCCGTGTACACGCGTACACCGGCACGAAGGGGAGCGAGAAGAGAGAGAAAGAGAGAGAGAGAGAGAGAGAAAGAGAGAGCGAGAGAGAAGGGGAGGCTGAAGGACTGGCTCTATGAGAAAAACTCTCCATTGAAACTATCGATGAGAAAGGAACCGCCTCCGTGTCGGCTCCCTTTGCGCGATCTGCTTCGATCCTACGAGGAATCATCGGAAGGTATTTACACCTTTTTTACTCCGGAGAGCCGCACGCAGCGCATTATCGCTGGGCTGTGCTTAATCATGCGTGGAGCGCGCGCCCTGCCATTTACAAAGCCGCACGTACGTAATGGTAAACGTCGTCACAAAGAAAGCCTTTCTCCCACAGCCGCGAGGAGGTTTTCGTGTAAATATACCTTTATAAAATCGCACAGAAAAAAAATAAACATATTATTAATATCTCGAAAATTGTGTAAATATAGCGTGCCGTATTCACGTCCCACTTTTAGCACTAATTGTGATCGCACGGTACTTAACCGACAAAATAATATCGGATGGAAAAACCCTGATAGCGCGTCAACTTTCATCAATGTCCTTTCAAATGCATCAATAGCATCGGTAATTTCGAACAATGACATTTTAACCCACGAGATCAATCAATTCCCGTATAAATTATCGCGATTCCGTCTACGCGAAAGCTCGCAGACGCGAGAAAAAAAGAACGGAGATGCGGTGCTTGCATTGGTAAGCCGCGGCGCGGATCAAGAAGTGCAGCGAATCTCCTCGGATGTTTCCAATTACGTTTACGTCTCCGCTTCCCACCCTCCCTCCCGCTCCTCGGTGCCTCGCTCCTCGTGACGGTGTCTGATTACACCGCGATGTCGGGCGCCCCGTTTGCCGCAAAGAGATGCACTTGCCGCGGCCGGCGTCCTTCGTCGCCGGGCGCCGAAGCCTGAAATTAGAGAATAATAAAATTCACCTAACGCAGCGTTCACGGGACCCTCGACTTCCGCGTAGCGAGCGCAGCTCGCGGAAGAGCGATTGCGGAGAGTAATCCGATACGTACGATGGCGAAAGTTTCGCGAGGGTAACTATGTTTCGACAAAGTCGGCTTTTAAAAGCGCCGATATTGAGGAGCGTTTTATGCTCGTTCTTTTGCACGAATAACCGAGGGATATTGCTGGCTCTTCAAACATTTCATTGCTGGCTGTTTTTACAGGAATATATTATTATATATAATTTATTATAATTTATATTCGTAACACACATTATATTTTTTTGAAACAACCGGTACAATAAAAGCCGATATCGCATTTACGATAAATCGTTCGATTGTTACCGCCGTTGTTATTATACGTACGTAGCTAAATCAATTACGTGCAAATTGTAATTATTATTCTCCGCGGCGTATCTTTGTCCCGCGTTATTTTTTTTTTATTCTGATAATTACATTGCGCCGGTCTCTTTTTGTCGCGGAACGAAACATTTAAAGTCCACGAGCGCATAATCCATTGTTCACACGGATAATTTTATTAATGTACGTTAATCCGCGTGTTCCATGCGTTCAAATGCCCGTATTGCAGTTCGTTAACTTAATGGCGATTATCAGGATGAAATACAACTCGTAAATGCGCGAGGCGCAATCCGGATAAGCCGAAAGGCAATAAAGAGGAATTGCAAATGCTTCGGATGAAAATGCTGCCAACAATGCGGCCTCGATAGTATTCTGTTCGTGTTAAACGTTCGAATAACACCATGAAACCGGTTCGATTAAAAATACCGCTAAGCGTTAGTTGTTCTGTGCAATATTCGATACAATAATAGGCGAAGGTATCGCATACAAGTTTGCGAACGATACTATGAAAAATTGGCGGAACAAAAATACATAGCCAGTTTGGATAATTGAAACGGAGAAAATTTGTGTACTTTGCGTCGTGTTTTTAAGCTTATTCTACTTTTTCATTATTTATACGCGTCTAAAGACAATTCTGCTAATAAGATGGAAAGCGTTTGTCACTTTTGTGTCAGCGATTATCCGAAATATAGACAAATGCAGTATATATACGCACGAGATTCGTTACGTTTCGATTCCGACTTGATAAATCCAATTGTACGCGGTGACTAAAGCCGAAAGGTACACGAGAACCGTGTCGAAAGACGCGTTACTAAACTTTGACAGCAACTTGCTGCCGCGTGTTTCACGGCTATCAACCGAACGCTAGCACAAAGAATATTAGCCTGACTGTAACACATAAAGATGTCATTATCCCGACGGGTTTCGTTTTTCTTTCCACATTCATCATGATTCTTATCATCCCTAAAATACTGCAAATCGGATTAGAAGAAGCACAAAGTGTTTCAATTCAAGTTATCTCAAAAATTATTTTCCGCTGAAATGTGATATATCATCTAAATAACGCACACAAATTTTAAAATATATACAGAAATACAACTAGATAAACCAATTCAATGATAGCAAAGCTGAAACACAACCAAAACCTCTAAAGTTTGACTTGTAACGTTTTCAACTTGAAAGCAAACGCGAAAAGGTACGAATGAATAAATTAGAAATAATTTTCTTCGTCAAAAATTCAATCTTATTTCTTTTCCGTGAAGATTTAAGATCTTATTCGTTCTGCGTTAATCTGACAATATTAATCATTTCGCTTCTGCACTCTTCTTTCGCAATTTGAAACAATCCTGTTGTCATCCTTTGTTAACTGTAGTCCTCTCTTCACCGAGTGCTCCAAAGGCCAATCGCAACGAAATTTTCATCGAACGATCCGCGCGCGTCGACGCTCGACGCGTTCATCGATTCTTGTGCTCCGGCTTCGATTTGCCACGCCTGGCCGATTAATTGCATATTCGGTTGGATACACGTATTTAGTGTCGGTAGCGAGATCACCTGTCCTTGACCAGTACTTAGGTGCTGTTCAACCAGATACTTTTAACATTATTAATTTTTTGTGTTCAGTTTTTCCTCTCACTTTTTTATTGTACGAAGGGAACAAAATATTTTATCTGCGCAAATTTAGGGATTCCTTAAAAAAGAAAATAATTAAACATAATAAATAGTAGATAATTAAAACATATTATGGTTCAAAACTATAAGATTGCAATATTGAATTTTTTTTAGAATATAGAATTTATTTTTTTTTTATTTTACCCTCAAAACACGCGCGAGCTATTTTATCGGAGATCTCTAACTATTTTATCGACTTTTATATATATATCAGGCCGATACAGTTTTTTATTTCCACCCGCACATTACTAATGGCAGGGAACAATGCGGGATAAATCGTATTGTAAAATCAATTTCCCGTCGTATAATGCCGCGAACGTGAAGTTATGATTGGTACGAACAATTGGCAGGCGTACATGTGCTTTTCCGAATATAAAAATAATTGGTAGTCGACGAGTTTTTCGCGAGCAACGGGCTTTATACGATGCGACGAATGATCGAAATAATTTGCACGTCGACTGGATGCATCCGCGAAACTTTCTCGACGGCTCGCATTGTATTTGTGTTGCATTTTTTTCCTGCTTTATTTCCCCGAGCGTCGTTAATCGCGCCGATTGCCACGCCGACAAGGAAGAGCTAGACACGCAGGTAATTGGCGCCTAATTGGACCCACCTGTTTCATTTGGCCGGGTAAAGGAATCTCAACTCTCTTACGGTATTTATTTTAAGCGAAGAGATTGGTTTCTCTCTCGATTATCTAGCACTTGTATCGATCCTTGACAACAACTTACAGAATCTACAAAGGTTATTTAATTCTCTATTATTCTTTTATCACAAAATGACTTTATGAAAATCAAATTTATGATAAAGATTAAATCGTTAAATTGAAATAATGATAAAGATTAAACAAGATTTATTTTTACTTGATACATTTGCTATGCACGCACAAACACATTAAAAGAAAGTGATTAACAATTATTATAATGCCATAAATTATACGATAAAGATCATAAAATTAATCACGACATAAACACCATCTTTCAGCTTAGTCGTTGACATCATTTGCAGATATATGTTGCGAAAATGTCTGTTCTAATTCCGCGTAATACGCTGTTTCGTGTACTTTGCTTTGTATGCGAAGTAATCGCTTTAAGCGCTCGCTAATTCTCAAAGAAAGAGCAAACGCCGGTTTTTACTCGCGGCCGCCATTATTACTCATTAGAGCGGTTTCTTTCAGCGAAATCCCGTCGCGTCTCTCTTATATCAACCTACGCTTATATGTGTGGACGAAGGAAACATAAAAGATAAAATAAAAGCAGGAGATTCGAGAAAAGGGGTGTTAGAAAAGGGTTGGACAAAGTTCTGACACAATGCTCGCGCATGTATGCGATTGCGCATGCAGACGAACTTGGAGATAAAAATTGGATGGGTTGTCGAAGGCACATAAATTGAAAAGTGGATTACGGCGGTCCTGATAGACGCGTGAAAGCGACATCGGGATATCAAACAACGGATGTCAAACTCGACGTCCATTTGTGTCAAACTGTTCTCGTTTGCGTTACATTCAAAATATATATGACTAGATAAAGTCGCGAAGAGAAAATTACATTTCAGTGAAACTAATAAATTAAATTCCATCCTATTATTCATAATACGCAAAATCGGGAAAATGAATTGATCGTCGCTACAGAGGTAATCTATTTAATGAGAAAAGCTCATTTCGGACATAAATCTCTTAACCGTCAAGATGTTGATAAACAGTTATTCCTTTCATTGATCTAATTAGCAGAACTGAAAACACAAAATCAGACATCCGGCAAAAATCCTAAGAGTTCAATAAATTTTTGTTGCATAAAAAAATATACGACATTCAACAGACGTATGATACAATAATTTATGCTGGTCAAATTCTAATATCGAATAAAAAATAAAAGAAGAAATTCTGCATGGATGTTTTAGCTAGGATTGTCGTTGCTTTCTACATCTGTCATCTTGACAGAAAAGTGACAGGGCAGGGACAAAGGAGCCAAGTCGCACGCGCGGAAGGATGGAGGACCTCATGCGAGCGTTGCAATTTTGCATTTTTTTCACACTCACGCGTGCACACAGCAACAAACTTACCCCGTCGGCGTGGAAAATCCGCGCGGAACAGCTCGGCGAAGACGGACAGGGAAAGAGACAGGCCGGACGACGTCGACGGCCGGCGACGGCGTTGCGTACGAGAGTGGCGTCGCGACGCCGGGCGTCGGCGTGGATCTCGCGCGCGCCGTGTTCCGCGCGTCGCGCGCCGAAAACAATGGCGTCGTCGGGGTACTCCGATCCAACAGGGGACGGAGCACCGCCTACGACAGGCGCCGCCCCCATCAGCGAAGGTGATCGTGTCCTGGCCGCGTCGGGGCGCCGCGCAGAGCTGCGCGACGCTGAGCCGCACAGAGCGACTGCGGTTTATCCCCACCGGACCGGCGAGCGCGGCGAGTCCGCGGCCACGCCACCGTCGGTATTGCTCCACCCAGATATACGCTATGCCGTACTGGTCCTGGTCGAGAAGCCTTGTCAGGGGCAACGTTGCCTGGAGGCAAGGCAACTGCCTGGTCGACTACGCTCGCAGGAGGTGCGAGAAGGAGCGAGGGTCAGGCGGAAAAGAATGAGGAACGGAGATGGTGAGAGGCGCGGCTGGAGAGAGCTGGGGACAACACTGAAGGGAGATGGTGTGTACGAGGGAACTCGCTTAGGGGTGGGGGCGCCGAAATCGTGCGGCAGGGATCTCCCTATGCGGGAAGGCAGACTCTGGTGGTCAATCGGGCGCCGCGCACCGCAGCAGCGACGCGTCACTGCACCCCTGTTTTGGGAGTCGGGCACGTGCTTCTTTCCTCTCCACCGACGCCGCGCGTTCAACTGCACTCCGGCACGTAGCAGCTCGTCCGCGTCCACAGCCAGCCAGGCGCGATAAACGCCGATAAACCGCGAGAAGGCGCGCTTTCACTCCCGTTACTGGAAAGCATCGCCGTGAAGACGAGTTCCTGGATATTCCTGCTTCTTTCGCAACGCGGTGTACGGCGTTAATAGCGCTATTCGCGCGCTCGACTATTAATCCCGCGAGTATCTCCGACCTGCCGCGGCGGTCTTGGCGGCGACGTGTTTCCTGATCTCAGATCAGTTGACGTCGTCGTGTCGCACTCGAAATTGAGCGCGACCGCGTCAATTGTCAGCAGTGTGAATTTCCCGACGTGGCGATATTCGATGTACTCTCGTTAAACTGTGCATTGTAAAAGTGTCAGTGAGATCATTTGAGCCACTACGTATTCTCTCGTCGGCAGCTGATTTCCGGCGGACGAGCTGAGTCAGTGGCGAACTGAGGACAGCGGGAGCTCCGGTCTACGAGAGCCGCACCGAAAAAGTGTTGTGAGCGGAGCAACACCGTCGCGGATTGTGCTTTCAGCTGGTGGCTGGATCCGGCCTGACCACGGCCATTCTCGACACGGTATGTTGGCATTTAGGTTGAAATGAAAAGATCAACGCAACGGGACGTCTTATTTTGCCGCCTTCCATTTGCAAACACAAGTCTTTTCTTTAGAGCGTTAAAGTGTTAAAAAAGATTGGTTTAAATTCATAGCAAACATAAATAAGAAGCCAAATTTCTTTAAAATTAAAATTTATGTTAATCAGTTAACTAAACAAGCTCACACTTGACCTGTAAATTTGGAGAATTAGCAGTTTGTCAAAAATATGAAATTTTTTTCACTACAGTGATTTATCAAAGTAATTATTATATGTATGTGATATAAAAGATTAATTTTTCTTTTAGTTTTTTGGTTAAATTATACTGTTATTGTTTCTGATAAACGCGAATTATACCTGTTCTTATTTTAGAATAGAATTGTGCGTTGCGAGTGACCGTCGGACAATGTCACCTCTCTGTAGTATCTAAAAGTTAATCAATAATACAATTAAATAATTGTTAGTTTCAAGAGAAGAATTAAATAAATCACGATCATCAATTTTACAAATTTATTTCAAACAATACTCGATTTTACATAATTATTTATATGAAATAATGCACGGTACAAAAATTCAAGTACGTACTTAAAAATCTCTTTTAATGAATTGCATCGTTATCGTGAAACATCTTTCATTGAGCTTATTTCCACATATTTTGTACTATTTTACGTAATTAGCTTTATTCGCATAGATATGAATAATTTTGATGATATTTAAATCGCGCGAAATCTTTCATAAGTATTTACTGAAAAATTATATATGTCAATTCTATCATAACTATTTAACATAAATTTCCAAGCTATTCTCCCGTAATTAAGAAAATGATCAAGTTTAATACAGATATCTTTGGTTAATTTAAATAAGGCATTTATTCTCTAATTTATCAGATTATGAGATTTTTATCTCATTTATATAATAAGAACAGAAATATCTCGTTACTCGTCTAGAACGCTGGCAAAGGAGCAAAAATTTCCCTGCAGTACCGTCTTTTACTATCTATAGAAAACTGTAATAAACCGGAATAGACGCAATAACTTGGACGCGCGGCGGCGCGACGGTTAGCTACAAATTGCGCGTGGCACAATGGCGTTGTTAACGCCCGAGTACCTCATTATGATCACGAAAAAAGCTGTCGATTGCAAGCGGAATGCATCGGGCTTGTTTAACGAAAGTGCAGCAGGCAATGCTGCGGCGCCTTTTATGGGAGCTTCGATTTTTTAACGCACAGCAGCTGTCCCATTTATGTTCTGATCTCATTCTAGAGTTGACTTGAATGTGAAACTGCATAATAATGATGAAATGTGTGATAATTGCGTTTTATGTAGATTGAAAGATGAAAGACTCTCTCTCATTTGGCCTTTTCTGTTACTGCAATTATATTTTACATCTTCATTGTATCACTAAAATATTTGTAATTAAATAGAGGATGTTACTATCGTTAAATAAGTTTTAATATTGTAGCTTTAATATTTCTTTTATTTCGCGTTCTCCCGTTTTTCTTCATATTTACATTTCAATGTGCAAATTACAATGTTTTTATTATCTCGTTCGTAAGCAGCAGTTGTAATTTTTCAACGGGAACTATGAAATAATTTTTTTGCATTAGAGAAATACTTTTGTACGGTTGTAGAATTCCGCATTTTACAATGTTGGAACTTCTCTACATCATTTCAGCTTACATGTTTATTCGAGGGGCAGACAATTGTCTCTATTATTTTTAGACGACCGGAGAGAAACGAACACGTTTCGTTCATTGAAAGTGATACAATCTCGGAAAATAACAGATGTCTCCTCGAGTGCTTAACAAAGAAAGCGCTCGTACCTCAGAGATTTCGTGAAAAGCCCTTTGTGCCTGAAGCGCCGGAGGCAGAAGGAAAAAGGACAGAGCGGAGAAAAATCTTAATCTCAATTATTTACTAATTCTGTGTCCTCTCCCTTGCGGTTATTTCGTTAAATCGACTCGTGTCGACATTTCATGTCTTACATGAGATTTTCTGCAATTAATTAGCTTTGGTCTGATGCTTAATTGCACATTTTTATCTCATCCAGAAATTTATATTTCAAAATTGATGTATTGAATATGGAAAAAATTATACACATATACATATATGTGTGCGCGCCAGTAAATATTAGCTTCAATAAACGGCCGCTTTCATTTAGGACTATAAAATAATGAAGCTCCCTTTTTTTTGCGAGAAAATAAAGTTGCGTTATTTCATATATGTTTATAAAAATGTGGATAGATTCAGTGGTTGCTCATTGGTGCACAGAGTGCGTCGGAGAATTAAAAACGATTAACTCGTATCCAATTCGAATTAGCGCAATGTAGCGAGTACGCGCTCGCAGTTTACTGCCGGCATCCTAATTGGCGCAAATTAATGCATCGTGCTTAAACTTCCGCCTTTCCCGCTCGATGAGATGCAGGTCGTTTGTGAGATATTCCGCTTTTGTGTGCCGAGAAGGTAGCGCGCGGGGTCGTGTCGTTTCAACGAGACTAAACGCAGCTCGTTCCTCAGATCTTCCTCGCAGCACTGCACGTCGCTGCGCACGACTGTCCGAATAGTTCCGAGGCAGTAATTTCGTTGGCATTTCATCCCGTGCCTCACCGGCAAAAGTCCTCAAGTGTCCGCGTGAAGTAATCCACCGTTTCTACATCTCCTCTTTTTATTAACTAACAAAGAGGAATCGTACAATTATAGCTGTGACCAATCTCCGTTTTTAATACGAAATTTTATTCATGCAAAAGAAAGGGAAGAATTTTCATTGTAACGTAGCGTTTACATGCAAGATTATTAAACAATATTTGTGTCACAAATGTTATCAGAATCGCGAAGTTTATTTGGACACTACAAATTATTCACTATCGTATGAAAGAAGACGAGTAGACGAGTTTACGTAACGCGTATTTACCGTGATACATTTATGCGTATTCATCTGTTTTTATTCTTACGCTAAGTGACGTAAATTGCCACCGCGGGGAAACATTCCTGTAACGTCAAGTATGCGCCGCGTATACAGTACTAACGATTAAATTATTTATCCTTCTGCCAGTCGCGCGGAGTCGTATTTTGACAGCTCCGTAGATCCAATCGAGATCTCGCAATGAGTACGAGCTCTCACTCGGCCTCTCTCTCTCTCTCTCTCTCTCTTCCTCTCAAGAAGCAGCGTCTTGAGAGCGGCTCGCTAGAAGACGCAGAATGATCTCGCGGTCAACCACGTTTAACGATCCTTGTGCTCGCCGCTTTACAGCTTGCACTTTTCGATCCGGCCGGGCGCAGGTATTGATGTCCCCCGCTTTGCCGTCGGCCGTCGTGACGTTACCGCGACCGGGCTTGAAAGGAGCTAATGATCTACGAGCCGCGCCGAATGACAATTAACGCTCGTCTCGACGCACGCCGGCGTGTGATGATTAACCGTGATGAGACGAGGGGCACGCCGGAATGCGCATAGATGCGCTGCGCTCGCGGCCACCTCGCGCGCACATCTCGGATTTCTACGATCGCGCAGGAAGACGTTATAGAAGTTGTCCAACAATGCAGTGATGCAATTAGATGATATCTCATCGATAGTGCAAATCGAATTTTAATGATTTCCTTGGGAAAGCTTCACTGTTCGATCACTCGGGCTCGTTACTTTCTTTCATGAAGCGTGATATTTATTTAATTATCGTGAAGCTTTGATAAATAACAGATAAGAATACGCGTAAATTGTGTGCACATCATTACGAGTGTCCTATTCATTTCTTATGTACATACGTGTAACGTAATTTTCCGGGTTGCTGTTTTAAAAATAAAATAACCACTGATAAGCATGCGTTATTTCAAAGTCAAAGTATGCATATTTAGTCCCAGAGCGCAATAATACTGTATGTTTACTTTTCACAAATGATTTATTGTTACAGAATATGAATCACTGTGCAACGTATCAATATCTGTAATTTAGTCGTGACTGTTAAGCTACTTCTGTAATTACATTGCGAGAATGAAAGGCTGTTGGTTTCGAAAAAACAACTTCGGATTCGAATCTAATGTGAAATTTTTCAATTATAACAATTCTAATTGCATTAATTTTGATAATAGTGCAAAACCGATTTTCCTTGCAGCATTTTTGTACTGCATATATAATTTTCACCGGATCTGCTCTCGCAACGCGCGAAGTAATACGAACAAATTTATGCGGGACGTAATCAGCCTTGGAAAAATTCGGAAATTTACCGCCGACACGGCAATGTTTATTATTTGCCCGGGCGCTATTTATTTTTTGACGCACTTTGAAATTTGCTTTTGGCGAACCAGTTTCGACGGCGCCAATATTTACCGCGCTTCGCGGGCGATAATCCCCCGAATTATGTTCTTTGAAGCCGCGTTATTTACGCGCGCCGAAGGGCGTGTGCGACGCGACGCGACACGACGCGTCGCATCGCATCACGGAAAGGTACAGGGATCAATTGAGTTTCCGTAAATTGCCGTGAATTTATAAAATCATTGTGAACGTATGTAAAATTATTTCGGCCGTTGCACATACCGTGCGTGAAACGTTAACACCGCGCGCTATTCGCCGTCGGCTACGCGATCCGTCGCCGTCGGCCGACGGGCTTTTTTTTTGCGTATCGCCAAGTAAAAATTTCGCAATACGATTAAGAACGACGAAATTGTAAATCGAAACACGCTCGCATCTGTTAATAATCCATGCTCTCGATACGTTACGTCGTTACGCTCGAAATTGGTTTTTGATCGCACTCTACGCTAAATAATCATCGCGCCGCGATTCCCCGTGAGAGTTACGGCATTATCGTTACGATATTATCCAGCTTCGATAATACGGTGTCCGCGTTATAGCATGTTATACGAATTTTAACATGTTTACGAACGTATTTTTTTCTCTTTTTTTTTTGCAAAAAGGGTGATGGATTTTCATCATGTTGTGCTTTTGCCCTAAATAGAACGAAATTATTATCTATCTTTTATTTAAAATTTAGTTTTGAAGATTTATTGTAGTCTACATATAAAAGCATTATTTTAATAAGGATAGAACGTACGTTTATGTTTACTCAAAGAAAACTAAAATATTAAAAATTTATCAGCAAAGCTCTATATAAAGCATAAATACTGAAATAATAATACTGAAAGCTTATTGATAGAAATGCAACGATGTATAATTATTGACTCTATCTTCATCATATTAAGTAGGATAAATTCAAGATTGAGACCTTATTAATTACATACTCTCGGAAAATGAGCAAATAATACTATTCAACGAACGCTCTTTCATGTTTTCGCGCAAATGTCAACAGTGAGCCTTCGTGTAATTACTTCAGGGATATTTTTCTCCTTGTTTCGAGTAACTTAGAAGCGCAATAAGCGTCGGATTAAGAACAAACGGAAAAACTTGACCAAGTCATGTTCTTAATGATTTTAGCACTGTGTTAGCGTGGCCGGAGGTGGCGGCGGCGGAGACGGCGGCGGCGGCGGTAGCGGCGGCGGAGGCGGCAGTGGCACGGTCGGCAGCGGTCGGCTGAGCCTGCACCTTCGTCCTTGCGGAGGTGGCGGAGGCATCATCGAAAGTGACAGCGTTCCGGATTATCCGCCGAGCGCTGCGGCAGCGCGGAGCAGGGAGGCGGCGGCGGCGGCGCTGCACGCGGCAAGAACCCTGTTGGGCGCGGGGGTGGCTAACCCTTGCTCGCCCACCCCCGAGCCGCCCTTCTGGAAGATGCCGCATAAAGGTCGGTCGAATCAATTTACTTAATTTACGCTGGCTAGCACGAGAAAACGGGAGTGTTTGATGATTGATCGCAATCGCAAAGACGACAGGTAATCGGCAAGTTGGTTTTCTAAGTCTCGTCTCGACAGATGATTTTTACTGATGGAAACTCTTGTCAGCGAATAGAATTATTTACGAGATTGGTTTATTCGATGTGACAAAGTATTATTAATTACCAAACACTTTGTGTATTAACGGATGTGCGTGAGAAATGAAAAACTTGCGGCACTAAAAATTATGATCGAGAATAAGAGTAATTTTTTTGCTTGACTTATGAAAGTAGACTATAACGAATCGAAACAAAGTGAATACATGAATAGGTTTTATTAAATTCGATATTTCACTCTTGCAACAGAATGGCATTAAAACGCGCAGCGACGGAAAGTCTACTCTTTCTATAAATTCTTAGAGTGCCGCGCGTTTTCATGGATTCTCCAATTATCGCGATTTCTTGCGAAGCTATTCGTCTATTACTCGGCAAGCCGGTTGGTCGCAGAAAGAAGCGACTGTCAACCTATTTACTTGCTGCGATGCTCCGTTGCCGTAATCAGTTTGTACAGGTTCATTAACCCGCAAGTACGCGCGTCTAGTCCCTAATTAAGAAGCTAAGCGTCCGTCGCGTTTATTTTTGACAGCTGCGAGAGAAAAGAACATAAATAATGCAACAGATTTCAATTACTAAAAATTGAACGAATCGCGTATCACTTCGCAGATATCACAACTATTGTCACGTTACGCTTAATCGTAATGTTAACTTTGATAAATAGTCTCTCATGGTTTTTAATTTTCTGACAGTGATGTATCGTCCGTGGTTCAAAGTTTCCTTGAACGAGTAGACGACGCCGATAAACTCGCAGGCCTTGCGGCGAAGTCGCGACCTTCGTGATGAGTCGGAGACGAGAAAGAGAGAGAGAGAGAGAGAGAGAGAGGGAGGGGGGGGTGCGAGTAAATACGCGTACGCTTATGGGCTTAGGTGGGCTCGCGGTTACCCCCGTGGGTTAGTCGGTAACTTGACACGCCTTTGCCCGGCTTCTGTCGGGCCAGCGGCCCTTCGCCGGCGACACCGACGAGACACGAAGGGTGGTGGCCCTCTTGCCATCTCGAAAGATTCGTCCGCGCGACCCCGGCGTCACCGCACTCGCCAACAATCGGTTAGGCTGGCTCGTACCTCCCTTCCCTCGCGCCTCTCACAATAAGCGGGGGTGCTTACACCGCCAATTTGTCTCGGCGCAACATAATCTTTCTCTGGCTCGGGGTTACCCACTCTCTCTCTCGCTCGAGAGCGGAGACGCGGGATCGCGTTACGCGCCTACGGCCCACGCGAAATCATAATGGGACTTGTAGGAGGGTAAGTGCTTCCCCCTCTCACGCCCCTCTCTTTCTCTCTTTACCTTCCCGTCGGTCCCCTCCTCTAGGCATTCGGGTACAAGCTCCAAGGCGGACAATACTCGCGTGGCACGAGCGCGCCCCTCTTTCATCCGTCCAACCACCAATCTACCCTCCCCCCCCCCCCCTCTCTCTTTCTTTTTCTTCTGTGCGTGTGTACCACCTATATATTAGAGAGCAAGCTCCCTCTTTACTTCGGTTCTCCATAAAACCCCCAGTAGCTATTCGAATCAAACGCCCGATTCACGAGAGCGCTTTATTTCGTTCTCGTCGCTACGCGAGATTTGTTAATGGTTATGGGCGCCCGCGGGGCACCGGCGCGACGTTGGTTACGGATCGGATCTCGCGCGTGCCAGGGCTGCGGAGATTACCTGCCTCCGTTGCTTCTAGGGGGTAATAAATGTCGGCGGCGCGGGATTATCCCCGCGACCAATCAATACACTATGGCTCGGCAATACGTCCGCGAAGCTCGCCGATAACTTTTGCCCAGATAGATATACGTAAGGGACTTGGAGTTTGCCGGTACGATCCCTTTGCGTGACCCCCATACTTGTGTAGAAAGCACACCGTACGGGTTGTTTTGTCAGATTGAAAGCAGTTGCACGCGAGTACTGGGACATTTCGCATATGAGCACTCGCTAATTAACTTCTTTGCAACATGCGACGTATCTCGTCACAGCCGTCAGATGGATAACATTAAATCCGACGTAACTCGCTCGCGACTGTAAAGAGGTTAAAGATCGATATAATTTTAGTGACAATTGTGGAATGTATAAAAAGATTGTTTTAATTAATTCTATGATACAGGGATTGATTGTCCGTCTTCTTTCGTTCATCGCGACGATAGTTTGTTCCGCACAATAAGCGTTTACAAAGTTAGGATTTTGCGATTCGTTATCTCACTTTACCGACGCAAAATTCATTTAATCGTCGCGTGGCTACGCTCGCGTCATGATTAGTGCGTTCTCCGACGTGAGGCATCTTGTTATCTATGAATAGTAACGAGCACGAATGTACGGTTACCAGCTCCACGGCCATAAGTTCGGTATTTACCTGCGAAAAGCTGCGGCAGAAGACACACGGCGGGTTTACCTAATACACGGTGTCAATAATAACGGGCGCGATAATGAGTATGCGCTGTCGGAGATGGCGGCTGCTAATACTACGCCGCCGCCTCTTAACATCGTCCGTAATGAATTCGTCGTCGCTCGGGAAGCGCGCGTGGAAGCATCTCGCTCTTACCGCGATTCAACTCATTAGAGAGCGTATTCCTGGCACGCCATCTTTGATGTCGCTTGAAGAGCGCCCACGAGATGAAGCTCTCTCTCTCCACGGTGCCGTGAGTTTATCCCAAAACGCTCCGAGGCTGTGCCGCGCGCCGGTTTGCGCTCATCCTTCCGAATCTCAACCGACGTGATAATAACATTTAGTCCCGGTGACACTCGACAAACGCGTTGACTCCAGAAGCGCCCGACCACCCGTTACGTCGCTAACAGACTCCGGCTGTCACCGGAAATAAGCGGGACTCGATCTTGTAAACGTTCATCGAGCAAACGCGAGTGTTAATACAACAATTCTGAAGTGAATATCTTGAAGCTTCCTTTCCGCGTAAATATAATTTTGTTATCAATTATTTAATACACTCTTATTATTATTCAACAGTTACTTATCATTGTACAGTTTTATATGTTAACATACATGTTTTGATAATTGAATTGTACTTTTAAATATTCGTTAACTCTCGTTATTGCTGCGTACTTGCAATATTGTCAGACCGGTTGACTCCAAATATGTTTTTTAACTAGCAGTTAACGATACGCTATCTGTACAATTAAAAATTTTCATTTCATATTGCTTCTAATTATATTAATCGCATAGGATGTCATGTCTCATTAATGCAACGGGTGTATTATTAAGATACGACACGTACAATTATATTATTTTGCATACGCGCGACGCAACGGAGACAGGTGAGAACAATTCAGCCGCAAAAGCGATATTTTTTTATGAATGCCGACGGATAAACAGCAGTTCGTTAAATAAATTCGAACCGACACACTCTGTAACTGATTACGTTCGGCCGGTTTCGAGTCGCAACACGGGACTAATTACCCGCAAACTATTATTACATCCCATTAAACAACTATTCCACTGCAAACTTTCCGTCATCGTTGGAAATTGGAGTGGCGCATTAGCCGCTTCGCTGAGCTGTTTTGTTTCTATTATCGGGTAACGATCAATCGTTCCTTGCCAACGGGTTTAATGTTTGTCCGTCTAGGAAGCACGCCGTAACTCATGCAACTGATCACGTGTTTCGAAAATTTCGAAAAATGTATATAGCTCTTCCGGTTCTGCGGTATCTTCATAAATAAATTTTGATTAACTTCCACTTTACCGTCGAGTGCGAAATTTTGCTAAAACACTGTTGAGAATCGAATTACAAAGTCGACTCGCGCGAGGCGTCGACTCATCGCGTCCGTTCGCGCATCTTAAATATCGACGATCGTTTCCGCGCTTAAAGACCGCCTCTCTCGCTCGGCATGGAAAGATTCGGGGGATGTTTGGTGAGGGCGGCGGAGGGTGGCTCGGCCGAGCGGACGGAGTGAATCGACGGCGGCGGGCGAGAGGGGGAGCGTCGGGGAGGACGAGGGTGCCGCGACGTCGTGTGCCGGGGTTGCACAGGATGGGATTTAATCTGTGTCCCGTTTCACGCTCAGCCAAGTGGAACCTTTTTGCCTCACTTTGCGGCGCGACTCGCTTTTGCGCCGCACCGCCGCGTAGATTAACGCGAAATTATATATAAAGAATGTGTGCTGCCGGCGGGTGTGTGCACGGGTCGACGGCGTCGGACGATATTCGAGCCCTCTCGCCGACATCATCCCCCTCTGTCGGGGGTGGCCGCACCCCCTCGGGGGAGGATGGCGTGAGGCGAAAGACGGTGAGCGAAAGGGTGAATCTCGCGCGCGCATGTACGTGTGCAGCTAAGTCGTGCACACTTGTCCCCTTTGTAACGAATTAAACTTGTGAAAAACAGCACAGACTCATGCGCCGTCCCTTCAAAGGACGAGGCCGTCGCGACGCGTCCTCGCTTTGACCACCGCCTATTTTTAACGCAAGCCATTCGGCCGGAAGAGCGAAGCCGATTCGAATTGTGCGAGGTATCTTTCAATCGGATCTGTAAATTACGTGGTTTTAAATTAAAATGTGACAATTAAATCAATTGATAATAAATCAAAAGATTAGTACGAGAGACTCTATCTTTGGTAATTTAAATAATATTGAGATAATCAATTGTGAAGTAACGTGCGAGAATATATAATGAGGATTTTCATTTATAGACTCATTACGCATAGTTGATTTTGATACGAGATATGCTGAAATAAATCATAATTCGTGTTATCTTACGTTGCGCTATGCGATAGTTGCACTGCGATATCCGCGGATCTACGTGCTCTTATTAATTCGAGCAAGAGATGAATATTCATTAGTTCGTCACGAAAGAATTTACGGCGAAGAGTGTCGCTTTAATTGGTTCCAGGAAAATGTCTCACCCTTATCGTTATCGTCCACTTTCCGCCGCGCGTATAATGAAAAAGACTTTAGACCCATCGATGCGCGAAGTTTGCGGAAAGCAGCGACGGTCGTGATCGGCGAGGTCGATAACTGAAATACCTCCTGTGCAAAATCGCCAGCGTATTGTATCCTGATTTTCCCGGTCAATCCCGCCGTGAACAATGCATTTTGTTCGAATTATTTGACACTTTTTAAAGACGCAGTGGAATATCTCTCAATGTGTATTCGCCAAGTTTCGCCATTATTTCGTCGTAAGGCACGGAATTAAATACAGCTACAAAATCGGCGTTCCAGAAAAAAATTGTATTATTTCTCTCTTCTCGCATTCGCGAATCGCGGAATCCGGAATTGCTGCCGCGATAAAACGGAGAAGTAAGAAGCACGAAAATTCACCTCCTCGAAAATTTCCGCGACGCCTCGCCACGGGATTATTTGTAACAAGACTCTCGACTCCAATTTCTCACTCCTCGTTCTCCAGCGCCGTATTCCATCCCCGTTATTCCTTTCACCGTGCTTGGAGCTCGCTTAAAAAGCTTCGGTTATAATGCGGGGATGAAGCTGGAAAACCTTTCGTGGAATCATAGCCTGACGGACGTATCGTTGCCGACGGATAGTCGAGGATGAGAAAAACATCCGTCGGAGGCGGATCTGTATAAAATTTAATGGAACTTTTGGCCGCCACTTTTAAGGAACTCATAAAATAATTTTGTTTTAAAATATTTCTCATTATTTAAAAGTTTTAATCCGTTTAAAAAAATATGTTTTATGTGAACTACGACATAAAAAATTTTATAATTATACGATTAGTAACAAGTTGATTCAACGATTACGTTTGATATCTGTAAAATTTTTTAATTTTCGAAAAACCAACATTTATTTATTTTTGACATTTTTGAACAAAGCATTGAGTAAGCGCAACGAGCGCTGGATTTTCAATCTTCTCGGCGAAAATGAGGTATGACAGAAATGGCGGAAGGTCGGAAGGAAGCAGCACGAGAGGAAGAGACAGGCGGAGAGACAGCAAGTGAGAAAACGTGTCGTTATATTAAGTGATTTCGCACAGCGGCGGAGGCGGTGCGGGCTATTCAAGATTACATTCCGACTATTTCTTGTTGTTTTGCCGCGCCGCAAAAGCGGGAATTAATTAAATTCGTTAATTGCAAGATGCATTTAGCAACGCCGGCTCTTCTCGGGTCTTCCGTCGTCCGCACGCCGTCACGATTCGCCCTCTCGTTGCATCCTTTTCCTTGCGTCATGCCGCAAGGATTTAATAAAGTGGCGAGAAAAGCCGAAAGGTCCACTTTCGCGCTGAGACATATGCGAGAAGCGAAAGAGCCTTTCATCACGTAATATTTAATATTTAATATCTTACAAATTGTCTTTATTAATATTGCACCTTCCGAGCGAATCGAATGCATTCCATTTATGTACGCGCGTTACGCATTGCTTTATCGTGATTATTACAATTTCTGAAGCCTCTCACACGTGTGAGAGATGATTGAATTACGTACCATATATCTATTCGTTATCCCTGCCATTATCCCCTCACGTCGCAATTACCGTCGTCGCCAATATCAGGGCGCGTTGCACGCGGCTATATTTCCGTTTCGACGCTTCCTCCGGCGCGCGATGCACGCAGGTAACGTTCGTAATAAGGTACACGGTAGCGAATTAATCGGCGCGCAAGGGTCAAACTGATCTTCGTTACGTGACATCCGCAGGGCGACGGAGCGTGTGATCGCGATGCAAACATCTCCCTTGGTGTTCAATCTGACGCTTCGGATCCGGGCGACAGGCGCGAGCGCTAATTAGACTAATAAGAACGCGTTCGGTGCGCGTACTCTCCGCCTGTTTACCAATCAGATGTTCTGGCGAAGTGACGTACACGTTGCGCGCGTTTTGATTCACAGAGGAGGACTTGATGCACGGGGGTGGCGCGGGTATTGGCGGGGGTTCTATGGTCGGACAGAACTCAATATTTGGGTGCTCGGCTGCAGGACACAGCGGGGTTAACCAGCTCGGTGGCGTTTACGTCAATGGCCGACCGCTGCCGGACTCCACGAGGCAGAAGATCGTCGAGCTGGCCCATAGCGGGGCCAGACCGTGCGACATATCACGCATACTGCAGGTCAGCAATGGATGCGTCTCCAAGATCCTTGGCAGGTAAGTGGTCACTGCGTGTCGATTTCTCGAAATCGTCCATGTGCGCGTGAAGCAAATAAAAAATTCTGCGACAATTGCCTGGTAACATCCATCAATTGGATTAAATAGTCACAAGACACAACCGTTGCACAACAGCATTGTATTTCCTCGATACAGTTGCGTAAAACGCGTCGCTGCATGATACATTTGCAGGAAAATTCGCAGAATTTTCTCCTATTTTTAACGATTTTATTGTTACTCGCAGACATTTTAAAATAATTGGATATATAAAATAACGAGCAAACGCTGCACTTCAATTTTTCGCGTAGTTATATCTCTGTAATTATAACGTCATGGTTCTCGTCAAAAGAAACTGCGGAATATTAATAAAAGCTTTTATCCAATAATATACCTTTTATAAAGTCTCTCGTATTTTTTTCAATAACCGTACCACGTGTTTAAAAGGCTCGCCACGATGTATAACATTAACATGCACCAAGCGAAAATAACAATCACCCCTTTCGCAGGTATTACGAGACTGGCTCGATCAAGCCGCGGGCGATCGGCGGTAGCAAGCCACGGGTGGCGACAACACCTGTGGTCAACAAAATCGCCGATTACAAACGAGAATGTCCCTCGATCTTCGCCTGGGAGATTCGCGACCGACTTTTGCAAGAGGGCGTTTGCAATAACGACAACATACCGAGCGTAAGTGAAAGCATCAAATTATCAGGCGTGTCTCTCAGCCAGGCTCTGGCGGTCAATTAATTAGCAAATTCTTCGGTTCAACATTTCGCTCGAGTATCGTGCATCAGAACGAATCGCATCTCGGGCGTATTTAAATGCACAGGCTGTAGATTTTAGTTCCTCAAAATCGCACGCGCGTCTCTCGCATAGATTTATCGCACCCGCGCGCGAATAAATTTCCCGCTGTGTCGGCGCCATACCGGGCCATTGATTGGACACGGTATAAGTTTACGCGTAATCCGCCGTCGACTTATCGTGACGCGCAGCCGGTCGGGTGTACTTACCCGTCGGATCCGGCCACTCGACCCTAATCAAAGTCTCGTCAATGCGATCGGCTGGGTGGGGTAATCGGTCCATTACGCGGACCTCGGCATTGTCCACCCTCCCGGCCGCTGATCGCCCTTCTTCGAAGAATCCTCTCCGTCCGCCCGTCCGTCCGTCCGTCTACCAAACATCCTGTCCACATCCCTTGCCCCCCCGATCGACCGCACGGAATATCCTCGACGGTCGATCGTCCTCGTCTGATTTCTTCGAGAACGCTCTTCCCTCCCGCCAGCGCTTCTCCTATCGGCTGTCCGTCAGGAATACCGAAGGGGATGGCACGCGCGCAAGTCGTTATCCATCGGCTCGTGGAGCAACCGCGCTTTCTTGCCGGCGTGCTCGTAGGAACTGCCGAATGAGGAAGGTTGATGGGGGATGCTGGGGGTTTCAGAGTGATCAATCAGCGCGCCTAGCACGAGCTTCTGTCGTCGAGCGTGTAATACGTCGGTCAAAAGCGAGGTTACATCTGAGAATATTATGTTCCACAGTGTACTTTATTTTATTAGATTTAATATTTATTATATTTTCCTTCCTTAAGAGAGACAAAACTCCGTTCCATTAATGACGCTTGAATTTATTTTTCACGCTCTTCATAGTAAAATTTGGAATCCGGAGTCAATGGCACGTAGTTATTGAGATAATCAGTGAACAGAGAATCTATAATTGTTTTCGCACGTAATCGCAAAGCAGGAGAAGGAGGGGAGGGGAACGTTGTTTGATCGACAGATTCTTCTCTCGATCGTTTCGATCTCGTCTACTGGTAGATTGCTGGTAGCGTTGGCGGTAGCGTTGGCTGTTGCGGCTGGTACACATCGCACCGGGGGTTGGTGCCGGGGACGCGACGGGGGTTAGTCGGCGGCGAGAGCGGACGGGAGCGGGTAGAATCAGGGTGAATGGGATCAGTTAAGCGTGTTGCACAATTATTCGTGTCCGGTCGCGCGTGTAATGGCCTGCATCGACGCTGCGGCTGTTGTGCGGCGAGAGTGGAGCGGTACGGAGCGTACAGCCGGAATCTCTCTCTCTCCCGGCATCCAGGCTGGATAGATGGTTTGATGACGGAGAGCCTGGTCCAGGAGTTAGCCGGGGCTAACTCGTCTCGAAACGTCGCTTCCGCTATCCGCCTGTTATTATCTCGTGGCGTTGGGACGAGCCGAGACAGCGAGAATTACGTATGCTCGATGAGCTCTGGACGTAATAGATGTGATCGGTGAAAAGTCGTTGAAAATCGATATTTTCCCACGCCCGAGCGTCCTCGCGAGGAATTGAATTCAAGCGAGGATCCTACCTCTTTCCAAACCTTTCAACCATCTTCATCGTGTCACGATGGCCGTCACCGTGGACTAAACGAGTTTACGAAGCTTCAGTGTTATCATACTATCGAAAGCAAAAATGCACCCGTGCATAATCAAACGATCGCACTCTCCAAAGTCAGCGTTCTTCGTCTTTAATCTAACCGGCTTTGATAAAGAAGCGTACCGCGCACCACTCCAACGACGATGTTGTCTCCGCGTCGCCTGGCCATTATTCCGTCAATTTTAAGTGAAACTACGCGAGAAGGATCGGCTTTGCGCGCTCATGCCACTCTCGTCGAAGCTCGTCGACCTCGTAATTAAGAAGCAGCACCGCTCGATATCCGACGTCCGCTGTATTAATGGCGTATATATATCCGGCTGCTAAACCCAACGATTGCGAAAGGGTGCGGAGTACGGGGGTCGACGTGCGTATGGAGCGCGCCGAGGACCATTATGTACAAGTTGAGAGCGCGACGCTTGGATCCCTGTGCTGTACGCCGGCTCGTTATAACTTTAGAGTTAGCCAGTGGCTCGGTCGCGGGCGCAAGGTGAAGAAGACGGCGAGGACGACAACCGTGGATCGGAGAGAGACGGGGAGACCGCGGTGGAGACCGTTTTATGTAATAATAATTGGACGGCGGTGTCCTTTCATCTGGATACGACCTCCGGTTCCCCCTTAGCCGGGCGCGGGAGGACGAAAAAGAGGAAGAAGGATCCCCGTGCAAGGGACGATAGATGAGACGGCGAGGGGCGGACAATCGGTGCGCAGCGACGACGACGGAAATGATTCTGCGACGACGAGTGGCTGCGGTCGCGAGATTTTACAAAGAGCCGCGCCCCGACCCGCCGGTCCGTTTCGTCCTTGTATCTCTCTTTTCCTTCCATCCATCATAAATGGATGACTGAGATATCCCATGCATAGGGATACATTGCGAGTCATTAATATTAAAAAGTGGCGCAACATTTTGTCTGAGCTATTCGTTTTCTTTTTTCATACTGAAATCGTGATTGGGTTAATAGCTTTGGGATTATAAATGAAGATGTAAACATTGTCAATCAAAATTAAGCTTTAGACCTATAAATTAGGCATATTAATAACGATACGCGATATTATTTTAATCGTTTTATTAGCTAAGTGTTTGTTGATTTAGAGCATTCATCTTTTGTTTGTTTTTTCTTTTCTCTTGTTTTGCCATCTTCGTATCATCTCGCGTCACCTTTCTTCTATTTTACATCTTTGCTTCTGTAATACTTTATTTAGCACCGACAGTATCATCTTATATTTTTATGAGTAAGTTAAGTAGAATACAATTTACTGAATGAACATAGTTTGCACGTTATTCGAAATAAAACAGCCGTATTTTTCAAAGTATTAGTGGAGAACCAATATTAAAAGTAGGAAATTATCGCATTTCTTCAAAAGTTCGTTTGAAAGTAAGTTTCGCGCATTCTTATTTCCGCTTTGCTATGCAGTAATTTGTTAAATTTATTATTCCTATTATTAAATTAAATAATAGATTTATCGTCTTGTGAGAATTTAACATAAATATTATTTGGAATAAAATATAAGTATTCTAAATAATAATTTTCTTATAATCCACCATTTTATATTTTACAAATATTTAAATATAACACACAATTTAGACATTATACGTATCATGATAAGAGCATAAGCATCGGCAGAATGCGAAATAAAGAAAATCCGTTTTTTGCCGCATATCGCTGCGTCAATTTTTTGTCGATTATTTTGCGTTTTGAAAATCCATTATGATCACACATGCGTACGTGTGACGCGCATAAGCTGTATATAACTATTACGCTATTACGGAACCACGATCACACACACAGCTGATCAGCTGGCAAGGTCGAGCGAGAATGCGTTGCTTTATAGGCCGGTCTTGTCTTAGCTCGAGATCACTCAGGATGTAATTGTTACAAGTCGATGTAACTATCAATAACTTCATAAAGAGACGCGGTGAATTAACGCAAGTATCACTTACAATATCTGAGACTTGATGACACCGATTTGTTTATCTCGCACAATTGATTTACAAGACATTGATTAATTGCAAAAATAATATTAATTCTTTCAATACGGCAGCATAAAAACGCGAAACTATCACCACTTACCGATGTGCCGCGAATAGATTAAGATGCAAAGTGAATATTAAAGTTCCTGAACAAAGGACGAATTTACCGCTTCGGAATTTGTCATTAAACGCATTCATATTTCCGCGCTTTGCTATGCAGTTCGCTAACTAGCTAAATAATTGAATCACCACGAATGGTCATTTACGTAGAATATATTTTCTATAATTGTCAAATTTTTTATAATTCGTTATTTTATATTTTACACAATTGTACACATATACCTGTTATAGGAGCATATACGCAAAACATAAAAATCTGCGAAATACGCAAAACGGAAGATTTATTTTTGTTGTACGCCGTCACATTAAATTTTATGAATGAACGAGATGCTCATCTGTGCGTGGCGTATGCAAAGCTATTATGTAATTATTACGCAACTACGATCAGTTGATCAGCAATGACATTGTCATAAATTAGTTGCACGATTTACAATCCGTTCTTGATTGTAGTAGGATTAAATTAATAGGTGACTCGAATATTAATTCTCAGTGGAAATTTTATTCTTTTCGCAGGTGTCATCCATTAACAGGGTACTCAGGAACCTGGCCTCACAGAAAGAGCAACAGGCGGCCGCGGTGCAAGCGCATCAGGGCGCCGAGAGCGTCTACGACAAGCTGAGAATGTTTAACGGACAGGCAGCAGGCTGGCCGCCGGCGTGGTACTCGGCGACACCTTCCCATCATCCCCTCGCCACGGGTATTCCAACCGCGGCAACTCCCGGATCCGGCCAGACTCTTCTGCCTGGTAGCCAGCTTCACGGACGCGACGATTCTCTGCTCAAGCGAAGCGGTAAATTCTAATTTACTTTGCGTCAATCACTATAAAATGCTCGCGAAAGTATTAAGATTTGCTTTGATAACTGTTTACACATCTTACCAACATGTCTAACATTTATTTTTCTTTCCGTTGTGTGTACTAATTTAATTAATTTACTTCATCTTTCAAATAATAAGTGAAGTTTATGAAATATTTAGAAAAGAAAGTGCTTTTATGTCATAAGTGATTATAATAATTGGAAAAATAATATTTAGAATGTAATTATTTTTTATAAATGTAAATTTAAAGAGGTTCATTTTTAGATTAAAACATCGATCAAAATTTAGACAAACGGATGTTTGCATTTTAAAGATGTTGAATATATATGATATCTCGCTTTCAGAGATGTCTTCGTACTATTATATTCTGTCTACGCGCATCATATCTTACTCTATTCACGAGGATTATACGTTGCATTGTGTGACTCCTCGACACCTCACACAATGCGCATGTACGTATGCGGTCGAGTGGGGAAAAAGGATCCGTCGTGCAGAGTTATAAGTCTAATAGGATCACAGAAATCGGGCCTGCGGCTCGGCTCTTAGCCAGAATCGGTCCACGGATGACGAAACCAGATGCGGCCGCCCTCAATAGACAGATTACGTAAACCGCGGTAGAGTGACAGGTAGAAAAGGTGCTTTCATTGGCACCGTGTTCTCCGAGATGTACCATCGTCAATGCCTCTTCGCGAAATTTGCGAATTTATCGGGTTTTCTAATCATGTCTAATCGTTTCGACGAAAATAGGAATTTTTTAATTATCTATGAACATACCTGATCGAATAAAATGATCTATTATGTGAATAATGTTTTGCATTTAAAAAATGAAAATGATACGGTTTCACTTATTAACGTCAATAATATGTAGTATCGGAACTGACATTAACGAATAGAAAAATGAGATAAGTAATTAATTCGAAAATACGCGCCGGTGAAAAGGAATGCTTTAAACACGTCGCCACTCGTAGGTGGTGGTTTATACTTCGCTGAGCACGTCCAAGTGCCGCTGAGTGCACGCTCGAATGCACAGGAACGCATCGAACGGTCGATCGCGGCCACTTTTGCCGAAGCGGCATTAAGCGGCTGGATCGTAGAGAGCATCGGCTAATCTCCTCTCTTTCTTCGCCGAGCGTGCGTCGTCACCTAGAAAATTAAAGCCAACGATCCGTCTGCAGCGGACTGCCGAGGATCGTCCCCAGTCTGGTCGTTACGCGCAGGGGTGTTCGCGAGGAGGGGAAGGTGGGTTACGCGGAAAGGAGGAGGACGAGAAGAGTAGAAGGGGGGAGGGTGACGGTTAGGGCGATGAGGCAGGCAGGAAGAGCGGAAAGGAGGGAGGGAGGCGGTGTTTGGGGTGCCGGTATTTCTAGTCGAGGGGGTTTTGCAGGGTCGAGTCCAATTGGGGGTTGCGCGGGGGTTGAGATGAGCGAACGAGAAAGCGAGCAGCTGACGAGCGAACGGTACATATATATATATATAGGTATGTATATACATATATATATATATGTATGTACATATCTATGTACGCGAGCGTAAGGGCGTGCGTATATATGTACATCTCTCCACCGCCGTACGGAGGAACGGACACGAACAGAGCGGCGGCACGGAGGGATGCCGAGAAGATACCAGGAGGAATGGAAAGAGACGAGGGTGCGGTGCGCGGAGGCGGAAAGTAATCGCGGCCCACGAGGGTTGACGAGGGCTACCTTCGCGCGCGATACGAACCGACGCGCACCAGCGCGAGACGCGACCCCGAAGACCGACCGCGCGCGCCTGAGCACGCGACGGTGTCTAGGAATCTCGAGAACGCCGGATCGCGTTACAGAATCGATCGGTTGACACATCGCGAAACTGGGGCCTCTTAATTAACTGCCTGTCACAGGAACAAGTGTCAAAGATTTTCGACAGCTGAACTGTATATGTTTAAGTCGTTGAATGAAAAAGATTAATGCAGTATATTTAATACTGTTTGCAAAGTTTTTGTGATATATTTTAATTCTGTCACATAATCGTAAATACGGAAGATATTTTTAAGATTATTGAAATAACAGATTGAAAAGAAAGCAATTAATTCTTGTTCCAGACACTGGTTCTCTATTGTCGCATCAGCAGGAGACAACTTCGGACGGTAATTCGGAACACAACTCCTCCGGCGATGAGGACTCGCAGGTGCGGCTAAGGCTGAAGAGGAAATTGCAGCGCAACCGAACTTCCTTCTCTAACGAACAAATAGATAGCCTCGAGAAAGGTCAGTACCAAAGGACAATCTAGAAAGTTATCAATTTATCAATCTAGAAAGTTATTAATTTTGGCAAACTATTTAGCCTTTATGCACCTTCTCCGAGAAACGACGCAACATACTCGCTTTCTACTGCAGATTCTTTGAATATTGTTTCTAAATTTAATTGCACGCAATCTAGTGTTTGTAATTTTTAGTATTAATGATAATAAGACATCTCGATACTTGCATATCAAATTAAAACTTTCTGGCTCGCAATGCGAGGGCTATCGATACTCCGACATCGAGATGATATTCTTCTCCGTTTCGGTCTCCGATATTCGCCAGTCGGGAATGCACGAGTGCACAGAATGCACGATGGCTGGCGAGCACCGCGTATCGCGATAATTAATGCCGACGACGTGGCTAAATAACGAGCACTTGTTGCAAACTGGTTTCGTTTCAGAATTCGAGCGGACACATTACCCGGACGTGTTTGCACGAGAGCGTCTCGCCGAGAAGATCGGATTACCTGAGGCACGTATCCAGGTGAGTGTGAATGTGCGAATGCGGCGTGTGTGCGCTTCCTCTACCGACATTCGCTCCACCCACCTGTCTCCCTCTCTCCAACCCTTATAACCCCTTCCCTCCCTCGCTCGTTTTCCCCGGGCGCGTCTTTCTCTCTTCTTATTCCGTCCGTTCCTCCCGGGAGGGTCGACCGGCGTAAGTGCGACGACGCCCTTTCATTAAATGCTTTTAACGTGTGACCACGTGGTCGTACGTGGGGAACATTAAACACCTCCGACGGTGTGCTTGAAGCCGCCCCCGAGACTCCCAATGGGATTTTGTCACCTCTTTCGCCCGCTGCTTCGCTGCCATTTACATATTCTTACGTGCGCGCGCGAGATTTCTCCCGTCAATTTGCGATGCGTAGGCGAATATATGATTTATTTATTTGTCAACTTAATTTTGAAAATATGCTGAATGCTAAAATATACTTATATTCTCTTCCGATATGTTAATTCTAACAATGAGAATTATGTATATTATTATGCTGTACTTTGGCCGTCTCAGATTTTAAAGATTTATTTTCGGATAAATTAAATTTTAATGAACGACACAAAAATATAAAAAATTCAGATATATATATATATATATATATATATATAAAGCTAAACATTCTATTGGGTTGAACATCATGAAACGATAGTTGAATGTCGGCCGACATTCTGAACAAGTTGGAAAGTTTGACAAACCCGAAGAATCTTTGATTGCGCCGAGAAAGTCAAGAATCACGGAAAACGGGAGACAGAGCCCCGACAGACCAGGATCACGCTCATTTAAATTATAAGATCAGGAAAACTCGCAAAACTTCAATTCGCATTTAAAGCGGACGGTACCGCCGCAGCGAGTCCTTATTCGTGTCCTTCTAAAGTTTCCGCGAATTCTTCGTTCGTCCTCGCTTTTCTGTGAGTTAACATTCTTCCTGTGACGTAACAAAGTCTGCAACTGGCATGCAGGAAAATTACGATAATCAAAGTAAATGGAACATAAATTGAAATTTTTACATAAAAAATCAAATAGTTTAAGGATTTAAGAGATTTCTTAATATATGTGCATCAAGATGCTTCTGAAATATCAAGACGTCTTTATAATGTGCGTCTCTTATAAATGCTCGTTTCGCCTGAAAGTCTTGTCAGAGTCAACGGATTACATCATGCATTCTATATTAATCCGTTATATTGTTCGCTGTATTGTTTCACGAATAGCTCGAAAGCTGCATTATAATTCTGCCGGTTGAAATTAAATTTCCACGTTTATATATACGTACTGTCACAATAAGCTATTCTAAATAATTATTAGAAACGCGGAAATGTTATTTTCAGTGTCATTAAGCTCTTGTATGCAAACATTTCCACGACATATGATGCTTTGTTGCTGTTCAACAACAACTTCCGTTCCAATAATACCTCTTACTTTTTAATCATAGAAAGGGTGCAAAACACCGTGTTGTGTAATTATAATTAATATTAACGTCGAACCGCTAGTACATAGCCTTATCGAACATTGTTTGGGCACGCTCACCCTTCACCTCTCATTGCCTCTCACCTGCATCATAGGAAGAGACGAGGGAGGGTCGACGAAGTGGCCGGCGGGGATCAGTGTGGTGGTAGTAACCAGGCGCGCTGCGTTATGTGGACGTACAAACAGTGCAAGACCATGTTGACGCATGTTTTCAAGCCTCGTTGGCTGGTATTGATCTTGCTAAGTGCAGGAAACCGGGAGTTCCGGCGCGGGTGGGAAAAGGAGAAGTTTGGCGAGAAAGAGGTAGAAGAAGAGGAGGAGGAGAGAGAGAGAGAGAGAGGAGGAGGAGAGAGAGAGAGAGAGAGAGAGAGGGAGAGAAAGGAAGACCGAACGAGAGAACGTGCGGAACCGAAAGAGGGAGAAGACAAAAAGATAGTCGAGCTTGGTCGGCGAGGACGAAAGAGGGAATCGCGGAAATCGCCGAGTTAGACCGATTGCCGGACGATCTTTGAATGGCGAGGTGCGCGTACTAGAAGAGAGAAGAGCCGGTGCTCTAATGAAACACAAAACGCGTCACGCGGCATGATACGGCGCGGTATGGCGCGGCATGTAAACGCGACGGCCCGCCCGGAGTCGCGAGGGATCGCGCGGAAGGCCTAAGAGGGTTCTCGGACGCAACCATGGCAACCATCGCGTCCCCAGGGAGGTCGCCCTCCGATTGGCCCGTCCCTCGCTTTTCCGCCTATATACCCTCGGCCACGGCCACGAGATTCGCCACGCCGCCACGTCGCCGGCCGATTATCATCCGCGGCGTTCCCTAAGTCGACCTCGTACGAGCGCGATGGCCGATACGCTGCGAGGATTAAAGCGGGATTTTTCTCCGACGCGCTTTCGAGGGCGCGCCGAGTGAAACGGGTGCAAAAAATAAAGCGTAAAATTGGACGTTAGGTATGCGAGGGAAACTGTCTGGCGTTTCGACTCGCATCGTCGGCATCGTCGGCTACTTTTTGGCGAGAGAGAGAGAGAGAGAGAGAGATGTTTATTTCCTACACATTTGCATCTTCTTTTTCTCGGTCCGAGTAAGAGATATCCGCGGAGTATCTACGCGACAGTATCGTACGCTCCATTAGTTTCCGAAAGCGCCGACGAGACGTGCAAACCGGCACGTATTTCTTGCGCTTCCACATCGGCGCGTCGTGAATTTGCCGAAGGTCGGAAGGTTTCAAGGCCGGAAACCGGTCCCCGCCGCATTACGGCCATTGACGAGACTCGAAGGAGAAGTGGGTTCTTCGAGTAACACTAAGGACCGAGCGCGTGTTCGGATCACGGACTCTCGCACGGATCGATTCGGACGAGTTTTCGGGACGAGGGAGGACGAGTTTACGAGGGACGATGGTATTGGGCGGAAGGAGCTTGCTGCGGGCGAATGGCAGATATTTGACGGTGGGGTGGTCGAACACGATTTGCTGCGCCAATGGGAGGACAGGAGGATGGAATTTATTTTTTGATTCAATCGAGGACCCTCGCCGTGCTCGTAGCGCGCGACGTTATACGTGAGATTGCGGAAGGCTTGTATTTCTACGCTGATGACATTTCTTTCCGCTACGAAAAACATCCCCCTTTTTTTCCGTATCGCACACGCGGGTAATTCGTTACAACCAAAATCGACAGAAATGGAAATTGCCGTTATTGCTTTGTCCTCTGTTTTTATTTGCGCGCACTAGCACGCGGAAATATGCGGATCTCTGTTTCGAAAACTTGTCCCGTAATTGCATCTGCTGCATTAAATATAATTTATTAGAATCGGATCTCTCGATTAATGATCGATTCGTTTGTTGACTGCATGAATAAAAGTCGCGCGATATTCACCAATTAAATGCAATATTTTGAAATACGAGTAAAATTTGCAAAAATAATATTTGGAAAAAAAGTAACATTTGATCCTACAAAATAGCATTACTGCTTTGATCTGATAAGCATTTACTTTCTTACTCAGATTCTGCTTTGACGATTTAGATACATTTCATATTCAGTATTAAAATTTACATCTCGAATCAATTTATTAAAATTACATTTTTTCCGAAATATTTATGAGCTATAATTAAAAAAAAAATTTTTGAATTTGATTTAAAATATCTTTAGATATTCGGTTCAAAATCCTTATTATAAGTCAAAGGATTATAATATTCTTTTTTTAAGAAAGAAAAGCATTTTTGAAATAAAATTAACGCATTGAACAGAATTACAACATATATAGTAGAAAAAAGTCTTACGATAAAGTCAAATGCATGGTTCATGGATTGTTCTAAGCGCTGGCAAGAAAAAACCGATATATCGAAGGGGACGAATCCTCTTATCGCTGAGAGGAATCACAAAAATCAGGAAATCCGTGCAAGCGTAGCATAGAACTTAAGCCTCGATATATTGTACGAGCTTACGTCATGTTATTCGAAACATTATCGACATAGTGAAGAAACAATCATTAAAAACACTCTTAGCATCCTCTCTTTATCCGTCACAAACATTTTAACGTAATCTATGTGCTTTTTCTTTCCTTTAATTATAGTTCTGCAAAGTAAAAAGAAAATCGATTGAATAAATATTAAAGTTAATCGACGTTTCAAAAAACGAATAGCATTGAGGGGAGATTGAAATAATTGCGGACTTTGTATTGATACTACTGCTGCGACTGCAGCCGTATGTTATCGAGTTTAATGCGTTTTATAGTACAACCAGATGCTTGAAAAGAGACGTGTGTAAATGCGCCGCAGCAAAGGGGCGGCAGGCAGGTAGAAACGTGTGTAGAGAGGATACGCGAAGAGAGAACAGAGCGGAAGGCTATATACGGGAAAGGACCAAGCGAGCAAGAGTAACTCAATTTCCCGTCTGACAACTGCTCAATCGCAATTAACAAATTGGAGGAGAGCGGCGTGCAAACTCGCGCGGATGTTCGCGCGGGATGCGAAAAGTGTGTCTGGGCGTTAGATTTCGCGCTACCGCGGGAGCGTACGAGAGCTTCGGTCGGATAGAGACGCAAAGATGGGCGAGAGAGAGAGAGAGAGAGGGTAAGAGAGCGAGAGACGACCGGGTGGTTTAGGGAGTGAGGGTATTCTCTCCGGAGAGGAAGCAGAAGAGAATCGTGGAGCGTGAACGAGCGCGAACGAGTGCGAATGCGAACGAGTGCGGATGATGCGAAATGCCGTGTCGGCGGCGCCGAGTGTGCGGCTGCACACTTATCGTGACAAAGGCACCGTCATTGTGTCGGTTGCAGGTGTGGTTCAGTAATCGCAGGGCGAAGTGGCGTCGAGAGGAGAAATTACGGAACCAGAGGAGGGCGGCCGTCGATCAGGTGGTCGCCGGCGGCAGCGGCGGGGGTAGCAGCGGCGCCGCGCCTCCCGCGGCCACCCCCGCAACGCCACGGTTGCCCTTAAACGCCGGATTCAACGCCATGTACTCGTCGATACCGCAACCAATCGCCACCATGCCCGACACGTACAGGTAGGAGAATCTCGCGATAAAGCAACAGCATTGTTTCTCAAATACAAAAGTTATGCGCAAGAATAAATATCGAATACGCCCGATAACTTGCGGTGAGCAGCGATATCTCTTGCTGCGCAAAACTAGAATAATTTTTCTCTATTGAAATTTCGCTGAATATCATTTTGTTTCGCAAACATCAAATATGTGAATAGCTGACCTTCAAAGATTCTAGAATTTCATTAAAAAATCAGTATTATTATATTTAATTCATCGCTCTACTGCATGCCGATGTGTGTTGTGAAACATGGAGGCATTGTATTGGCATTCGCTCTTTTTAACGTAGATACCTTTCTTGTTTGTAGCTCGATGTCAAGCAGCTTGGGCGGGTCAATGGGTGGAAGCTGTCTTCAACAACGCGCCGAAGGCTACCCGGCATACGTGTTTCACGAACCTCTCCACTCGCTCACGCAGTCCTACTCTCACGCACACAGCGCGGCGGCGGCCGCGCACTCGCAACCCCATCGCGGCATCCCGACGTCTCACGGCGGCACCCCCGCAACGCCGGGAGGACAACCCGCTGGACCAGGTGGGGCACCTTACCAGCCGACGACCTCGACCGCGACCGGTGAGTTCTCACCACGATCAATTTACCGTATCCTCCGCCCCTCGCACTTTCAAGGTCGCTTAAGAATAATTTAGATTGCAAGAATAATTAATTAATGCTTGCCAAAACTAATTTGCTCTGTCACTTAGAGAATGTACGAAAGAGAGATGTGCCGAAACACATACCGACGGTAAAATGAATTATTGAAGTAAATTCAATATTTTTTATCGATGTTTGAGTTCTTTTCTTCATCGATTCTCTTTATTTAACATTTAAATTTTTATCATTCGATATTTCTTAGTTTTTTCAAGCCTTGTTTTTAAAAATCTCTCTCGTCTATTATGTTACGGTTATCGTCTATTGAGAATATCAATGTTTCACGTATATATACGATACATACACGATATATGCGCGTACTGTATTATTGTAATTGTGAAATTGTTTCCCATTTCCAATAGCTTACATTATATTTCGAAAATTTGCACAGAACTGAGCAATGACTCGTCGATGTGTGAATGAAGCCACGCTAAAATTAGTTTTTGCTTTACAAGTTTTCGTTTCCAATTTTCGCCCGACACAATCGTCGTTCCTTCCCCGTGTTCTAGCCGGCTCAAAGCGCGAAATAAAGCGTCGAGAATTACCTAGGAGCCTCTTCACACGCAATCTACATAGCCCTGTTAACAGAAAGAAAGCGAGAGAGGGAGAGAAAAGTGAGAGAGTGAGAGAGGAGTGTAAAGAGCGCGATCGCGGCTCCATGCTCGCCCACGGAATTGTAAAAGGATTTTAAAACAAATCTCGCATGGCGCCGCTGGGCTGAATCGAAGAATGGGATGTTCGGCGGTTTTCCAACCCGCCGATGTAGTTGGTGAATTTTCCATTTTCTCGACTCCGCTTTTCTCTCTCTCTCTCTCTCTCCTTCCTCTCTCTCTTCTTTTTTCTCTTCCTCTCTTCTCTTCTCTCTCTCTCTTCTCTCTCTCTCTCTCTCTCTCTCTCTCTCTCTCTCTCTCTTTCTCTTCTTTTTGCGCGCCGCTCGGCTCCTTCTTTTCTCTTCCAACTCTCTTCCCCTATTATCCCTTTTCTCCGTCTATCTTCACATCTCGCCCCCTCTTGCCTCTCGTTTAGCAAAAGCCACGGAGGGTCGCGCCTCCTCTCGCAGCCTGCGCCGCCTCGTTCTCTCCCTTTCTCTTATCCCCTTCGCTTCTACACCCTTCCACCCTCCGAGGGTGCGCTCGCTCCTTCATGTCTATCCATCTATCCGTCCCTCTCGTTGCCCTCCGAGTCCCCCTTTCGTCTCTTTCTCCGCATCTATTTCTCTCTTTCTCTTTCTCTCCCTCTCCCTCTCTCTCTTTCCCTCCCTCTCTCTCTCTCTTTCTCTTTCCTCTCTCTCGCTTCCTCTCCCTCCTGAGGATATACAGGGGTGAACAGAGGATGTGGATGGGTTGGGTCTCGCCTCGGCTGGGCGAGCGCTCAATAACGTGCGAACCCAAAGGGGAGGAAATACGGGGGTGCGCGGCGTACCTACAGGAACGGAGCGGAGCGCAAGCCGGAATGGTGGAATACTGCGGAACACGCGCGCAGTGTGTCCCACCCCGCTGTCCCTCTCGCCATCCCGCATACTCTTCTCGCGGCCGCCTTTCTTCCTTTCCGCTCTTTCGCCCCCCTCGTTTTCCCGCCGTTCCTTCCGCACCCGCGCCTGTTCCCGCTCCTTACGTGCGGAACGAGCCGCGGGTTATCCATCATAATCGCTTTACGTGCACGAGCGCCGTAAGGACTTTCACCGCGCTCGTTAGCGCCGCGCCTGTCCCGTCGGCTTTAACGGCGCCGTTTTCATAGCTAAGTAGCCGTCCCCGGAGTTAGCAAGGTTTTGGCCGCGGAAATGTGCGTAATCGCGCAAGTTGTCGCGCAGCTGGCGAGCACCACGGACGGTGAACGAGAGTCACGAATATTCGATTAATTCTCGACATCGAGGAGACGGTGTTCCTCGGATATGAAATTGGAGATGGAGTTCTGGGGATCACCAGAATGCAATCGAACGTTCGCAAAGTATCCTCGACAGTTTGTTTTGAGTTCTCGATTGCTTTTGAATGCGTGAAAACACGATTCGATATTACAGAATTTTAGCGCGTTAAATTTCACGAGCGAAATATAAAAGATTTTTTTCACCCAGCACTCAACGTCCGCTATCAATAGTCTCAACGTAGTAATTTTTGCTAGATAAAGGTAGATTACGGTATAATTATGGCACGCGTCCTCGTAACGCTCGCCAAATTGCCCGTCTTGCCATTTTATGCCATAATTATAGCCCACGCGAGAGGAACAAAGTTACGACGCGAGGCTGCATAGAGCGTAAATGTTTTCGCGGAAGTTTATATTGGATTAGACGCAGCTCGTTAAGGTGTTTAATTCAAATTGCAGAAGTGTACGAAGCCGCCGCCGCGCTATCATAGCCGAATCCTATTTATGCAACCGTCACCGTGGGCGTTGTTCGCAAGTGCGTTTTGCATCGCCTTCCGTAAATACGTGCTCGGTCGTTTTTAACGAATTAGTCCCGCTGCGTTTCACGCGACTAACGATGCGCTCTCCTCACGACGCTGCCGTCGCCGAGGTCGACGCGGGTTGTCGAGTGTCGTCCTTTCTACCTGACGTGTAAATATTGAAGTTAAGAATAAATCCAACGCGATATCATTGCTCATAAAAATTAATGTCAAAATAGATAATACCACTGGATAAATCAAGAATTTTTTAAATTACAAAAATAAACAAGAATGGTATTATAAAATAATAAAATTAATTTAATAGAATCACAGGACGGAATAGCAAAATTAAAATATCAAAGGCAATTATTTTCCATGAGGTTACATCTTGATATTATCGAACGGAGACAATACCATCGCAAAATTAAATTCCTCTCTCACGTATACTATGATTCAATCCCGTCAAGTCTTTCCATCGATACGCTTCACCCATTCGAAAGTACTTCTTATCTCCGCGTTCTTCGTTTCCCAAAGCCTCGACAGTTCACGTTCCGTCGCAGCGCGCTCAATCGTCCCGGCATCTTGAATTGTTCCAGGAGTGATATCGGCGGGCGTCTCGGTGCCGGTGCAGATCCCCTCGCAGACCCCGGACCTGACGGGCAACTATTGGCCGAGGCTCCAGTGATCCCAGCTCTTCGGGTTCCCGCCCGCGAGCTTGCTCGTAGGCCAGGAGAGCCCGCCGCCGCCGAGCGTCACCCCGGGCGCGGTGCCCCGACCGCTCCTCGCCTCTCTCGGGATACCGACGCAGTCGACGCAGCATCAGGCCCCCAGCACACCGGCGACCACTCCCGTGCACAACTCCGACACCAGTGAGTGAGAGGATTGACTTCTCGTGACGTGCTCCGTCGCGCAGTGATCCCTGTCCGAGACACGGCGCGCGGCATCCTTTGCCGCGCGCAGTTTGCCGACGGGCGACGCCGCGATTGATGTGGAGAGAGAGAAAGAGAGAGAGAGAGAGACGCTACGAAAGAAGCTCGCTCGACAGACGCCAATCTCTTCGAAGACGCGCAGTTAGTGTCGGTTGTGCGTGGAATGAACCCAATCCTGAAAATGATGACGCAAGTGTCCGAAATTTCTCTCCACTGTCTTGTAAGTTGAAAAATTTCGTTTGCCCACTTTTCGCGATCACTTATTTATGAATTAATGGTTTTTTTTCCATGCTGATAAAGCTGTTACCAGAAACACGTTATCGAGTGCATGCTTAAATAATGTTGGAAATAATTCATAGTGTTCTAATTGATCGGACAATATTTGATCGCACGTAGAGCTAATATCACTTCGCTGACCGAATAATAAATCCTCGCAGGCCGGATTGATAACTCGCGTCCTCGAATGTTTACGACCGTCAATTTTCTGAAAGGCAATACTTATCTACGAAACTATTCAATTTTAGATTAAGAGATAGAATAGGTTCCTCCCTTCTTGAACGATTTGTAAGTTTGCCAACGCCTGCATTGACGATCGTAATGGGACGACGTACCGTCGCGAAATTTTGAGAGAAGCCCGACAGACCAGCAAATCCCCCTTGAAATAAAGCGAAAAGATTTTTTACTAACGACCCGATTGCAGAGTGGAATTTTAGGCGGCACGATAAGTTTTGTAATTCGAGCCGGAACCAATCGACATTACTTATCTTCCACTTCGTGTCTGATCTAGATTTCGTAGATGTATACGCATAACCCGGGTCACGCAGGGTATTCACGTACTCACGATAGTGTGTGTAAATGATTTACGTTACGCCACCGACGTCATTACATCGAGGACTTACGCGTGAAAAACCACCATCGCCTAATGATCATCGAGTTTACACAGAAAATGAATTTTTTTTGCTTAAATAATTTCAATTTAATCTTCGCCGCGAGGAAAGTCTTTTTCACCGAGTGCCATAATGCCGGGAAAGTTATTTTTCACTTCATCCCACGCGCGCGAATTCTCCCTTTAGCTTCCCGAAGATCGATCGATGTCAAGAGCATTCATTAAATTTACAGCCGTTCTCGTTTTTCGGTATCGGAGAGCTTTATTACCGGATTTATTGGATACCGCCGGGCGCATATTGTTTGCCGCACGTTGTATCGGTTTCCGGCAAATATTTTCCTTCGTGTAAGGGCGGCCGCGAACCGCGTGGAAATTGAAAGGGAGCCGCAGACACGTAGGCGGCTCCCGCCGAAATATATTCTCGCGAGAGTTTAGGGTGGTAGTCCTTCCCGATGAGGCTGATTTTGTTGCGAGAGGGAAGGTTTGCGGGGGAGAGTGGGGGAGAGAGTTGATAGCTGCCTGGAGGGTGGCTTTTTTCGGCGATGCCGGCCATCGTGTCTGCCGGCAGATATGGCGTCGGAAGACACCGCTCTCGAGAGGCTGCTCGCAGCTCGGTCTACGTTCGTTTGTGAATCGTGTAAAATCGATCGATGACTTGTACGAAAAATATCCAAACTATTCGAAGGAGTATAGTCTTAATATATATTTGTATTTATTTATAATTTTATATTTATATTTTTTTTTTTTAAATTTACGATCTCTTTTGTAGTTTATTTATTTGTTGCACTTAATAAAGTTATTATTATTATTATGTCAGCGTCTTGACACTTATTCGGATTATCTCCCGAAATGTAATGAAGAAGATGATCTACATAAAAATCGTATGGAATCACGTTCCGCTGCGCTTCGATTCGCACATGTCATTAATTTTTCTGTTGGTTTATTTTTTTTTTGACTTTTTGGAATTTTTGCATTTTAATGCGGGTGGTTATTCATGCGGAGGTTCGTCGTGTTTTACAGGTGCAACCGAACGCGCATAGGGATCGCTCCCCGCATGTGTTTCAAAGTATACTATATTTAAACCTCACCGAGATCAGTGTGCAGAATTTATCGAGAATAGCAATATTGCAGTTTCAAATCCCCCCTCCTCCCTCCCTCCTCCCCCCTCCCTTTCCACCCGATGTAGCATCGCGGATAGCATTTTTCTAAACCTCGCGTAAACCATTTGACGACAGATTTGCGAGCGAGAAATCGAAATGTTCGATTTGAACTCCTTTATTTATAATACACATCTCTCCATACGAATATTCATCCCGGTTCAAGGTACACGATTCTAGATTAAGACAATCCAATCCCCCGTAGCTTATACCATCGTTATTACCATAATGAAAGCACAATGACGTACGAGATCGTAAAGAGTACACCGGCGTAACTCTATAGAGAGATAATGCGTTTCGTAAGTGTAACGCCCGGAGGAGGCAAGTAGCATGAGACGTTCGCGTCGGTATTTATTGCTATTAATGTAAACGTATCGCTGAGATAACAACGGACCGAAAACGATGATTCGTCTTTCCGAATCGGATCGCGAATATTTGGTGCTCGCAATAACGAGAGGTCTTATCGGCACTGAAAAACTCGTTAATTCGTCGCCGCGCACACGATCGAAGCACACTCTTTCGATTACGCTGTATAAAGATGATTGTAAGATAGCATTTGTTACTCTCTTTAGACCAGTACTGTAAATTAGAGATAACTATCGCTGTATATATTACGTACGTAAGTAAGTCAGACGAATTCCAGTTACGTTCGAGCGTACCTACCTTATAGACTACGCAACATCTTATCCGTGTATTCAATGTTTTCCCTCACCGAAGTGACGACTCCGTTACTTACACCGTGCAGCAGCAGAACTTCAATAAAGTCAAATGATCTGAGCCTACATTTATTCACCTTTCATTTCGCGAATCACTTTCGAGCGCATGAGCTTTTCCGGAGGACGAGTTTTGGAACGGATCTCGAAAATGCATATAAAATAAATTGCCAGCAAGTACACGAAAAATGCAGAAATTTCACGCAATGTTCCACGCATATTGTTTAAACGAATAATCCGGACGAATGAGGCAACTCTGTTTATCGGTCTTATAAAGCTACAATCTTTTTTACAAGCGATATATTATTGCATTATGGAATTTTTACAATTTTAGCGATCACGATGTTAAATTTGACGATCCCATTATTCACGCCAAACGAGGTAATGGCGTAACTTTTAAACCGCAAGGAGATACGCCAACCACCTGTATGGTCTTATTGTAATTTCGACGCGTATGTATATGCGTGATCTATTTAATCGATGCATTTCGATCACCACCTGCCGGAGGTGTAGTAGCACGCTTTTCAGTAATTGAGTCGCGCCGCACGATCGCATCGAATAATTAGTCACTGATTCGTAGGTGTGGAAAAAAACAGCGTGAAAACAGCGACTCGATATTTTCGAATTTTATCGTTCCAGAACTCGACGGGGAGTTTTTTTTCAGAGAGCGACATTTCCGATATTTCTGTCGCGATACGAACATTTGCAAGTATCATCTTTTTTTTCCCCTTTTTTCGTTTTCGATAACGCATAACGATCGTTTTTATGGACAATGCTACGCGCGCCGTAATAAATGTAGGTGACGAACTCTATTAATCAGCAGCCAATAAATAACCATGGATAATATACGTTGTGTTAAACAGTAACGTGTGAAGTATGTAAAATTACGCCACCCGGAGTAGCGTCGCTCGTTTCTCGTCGGCGTTTACACGGTCACGTAGGGCTTGTGTAAACTTGTTGAACGTTTGTACGCGAAGAGCACTTAACGGGGAATGTACTGTACATTAGTAAATTTATATTTTTGGAAGAAAACGAAAATAAAACAGCGTGAACTCTTCTCTGAGAGCGCTGGGAAATCTTCGGCGCATCTGTATAGCGCCGCTGTAAAATCGATCTCGCGATGATAAACTTCAGTTCTCGAGACAACCTTTATTTAAATCCGTCAGTGCCACTTCCTTGTTATAGAAATTTCTTCGAACGTAAAAGAAACTCTAGGAAAACTTTCTTCGAACGTTAAATTAGAAATGCAATTTTTTATTCGAAAGATTTTTCTGTTAAACTCTTGAAATATTTTATAATTTTGTTGTTTGTATAAATATAATGAGTAATTTGTCATATTATATAATTTGGAAGAAATAAAATAGAGAAAAATAATCAAACGGAAAAGATATAAAGCGCCCAGAGAATCCGCAAAACAAAGTGTACATGTTTGGTGTCTTTTTTTTCTAAAAAATGTCGACGTTAAATAATTAATTTCTTAAACTTATTATGTATTAACATTTTGAATATGTTGTAAACAAAAAATACTTCTTAAAAAATTTACACAAATGAGATAAAATTATTAAATTTAAAAATAAACCATGGATACGTTAGCAACGTTTACGATGTTTACTGTCACCACTCGAAAAAGTATTTTAAGATGAACTCATTACGTATATCTACTGAACAGTCGCGTATCATACATGTCTGCATACTGGATTCTCTACAAACAGGCGCTGCACTTGCAACAGGCTGTGCATTTCGAGAGGAGTAGATTAAAGTAATTCTCATTTATTACGTTATCTTTATGAATCTGCGTTTGCATAGAACCTTTGGATAGAACCGAACGTTACCGCAATTTTATGCATGTAAAATGCGTTCCAGCGGGGAATTATGTTTTAATCATTACGCAACCAACATGACGCGGAAGTGGTTACGCGACTTTCTTATTATCTGTAATAATACTACTAATAACGACTACACAGTGTATGAGTATTAACAAATTTATTAATGAGAATAATATATTATTGCGACAGTAATCTATGTAAGTGTTGTGAATAATGAGATAATATTGTTGCTGTGATTAACTTTAAGATTGTAAGTAGTAGGAAATAGAGGAAACCACTGTTAGGTGTCACTGTCTCAATTCAATAAATGTTATTTCATTTTAATGCCAAATCATAATTTTTTATTTTAAACATTAATACATTTTCTGTCCCAAAAAAATATTAACTCTTACACACATACATATATATATATATTATAGTATAAAACAAAAAATATAAAAAAATATATTTTTTATCAATATAATAACTATACTTGCAATGATGCATCATTATATCATTATATAATCTACGATTGCTCGTACGCTTTTCTTAAATCATCTTCGTATAAAATAAACATCTTTTTATCTAATTAAGATCAGAATAAATATCACAGTTGTCAAACAAAAATACAAATTTACACGTGTTAAACATAAACACGTCTCGCATAAATGTGCATCATTGTTACACGTAACGTAATATAATCTATGATTGCTCTTATGCTTTTTTTAAATCATCTTCGTATAAAAATAAACACCTTTTACTAATTAAGATCAAAATAAACATCACAATTATCAAACAAAAATACAAATTTACACGTGTTAAATATAAACACGCCTCGCATAAATGTGCATCATTGTTACATGTAACGTTACGTTTCGTTAAATGAAAATGTTTTAATATTTAGCACGATATAATGAGGAAAACAGGTTTGTATACTTGCATCTATTTATGTTTATATGAGATACGTTATTAACCGAGATATGCGACTTGAATTTTTAACAAACGTAAACAGAGCTGCTGCAAAAATTGTTTTTGACATCTAGTTTAAAAGTAATGAGTTTCAAAAAGTTTAAAAAATTTTTCATATTATAATTAAATTTAATAATGTCGACGTCGGTAATATCTTCTTGGACGTTTTGCGAAATTCGTTTTTCTGCCAGAATAATTACCGTGATGAGAAGAATGCGGGTTAGAGCTGCTAGACAAAGGTACTTCTTCAACTGTTGCACAAGCGTAACAGTGTAAAATCAATCGCACTGCTATGCAGCACAAAGCAGAGTATCAAGATTGAATCTGAAAGTAGCATCAATTCACAAAGTGCAGTCAATATTAAGAGTCGCTTTAATATGAAGAAGAGCGATCCGGACATACCTGCATATTGATGTGGCGGATATACGAATGCTAAACGAAATCCGGATATGGTGACGCTCCTGATGAAGGTAATAATAATGTACTTCAAATTGCTTCCAACGTAATAATCGATCGCAATAATCACGAAATAAGATCCGAGAATCGCGTTTATGAGTATATTGCGTATTTTGATCGCAAGGATAGCTATCGCAATCATTAAGTTTAAGAACATGGACCAGAATAACCACTCTCTTTTCAAAACATAAAACATCCACGCTACAAAAAAGTAATAATTTCTTTAGATTAGAATATTCATTTCTATCGCAATGAAGTCAACGTATGTCGCACCTTATCGCGCGCAAAAATTTTGGCGACCTGATTAACGACGGATGATCGTACGCTGTCCGTTACATCGTAATCATCTGTTTTACATCGGTGTGCGGAGTGCAAGTGGTCGGTTCAGAATAAACAACAATCGCGATCATCTGTCGACAGGGTAGATCGGTCCAACTCGCCGCGCGCAGTTGCGTATGCACGCATCGCGTAATCTAAATAGGTCCCGGCGCAGAATAAATACGGGGACACAATTAGGTAAATGCGAATCTTCCAAGCTGGTTATACCGTGCCGTGGGAGTTCACGCCGAGGGGGAGACAACACGCGTTGTGTGTATATGTGTGCACGCATATCCCGCGCGCGGCGGACGCATTTTTGCGTTCGTTCGCTCCGGCGAGGGTGGCGAAGGGTAGTCGCGGCGTTATGGTGAGAAAGGTGGGAGGCAACGTGAATGTGCCACACCGCTTCTGCATGGGGGATTCGACGGGCGAGGTTTCCACATGAGCGGCCAGCATTGATAGAAGCTACGGGGAGAAACTGACTGTGCGCCTCTCATCCCTTCGCCAAACTCGAACTAACTTCGGGGTAGCGACGGCGCTCCCACCCACAGCCGCGCGCGTTCTATCCCTCCGCTTTTAAGCCTGGCTTTCATTATTTTCCTATAATTCGCAACAGCCCTTCGCGAACGCCGCGGCGTGGAGAGGCTACCTACGGTTCCCGCCTTCGCCTTCCCTATCCCACCGCGTCTGCTACACTCTGGACCGCGTTTCGTGAAGCTACAAGATTTCTACCGCTGGAAGATATCTAAGAAGTAAATTAACTTTATTCGCGCAAAAGGATATAGAACGAGCACGATAACTGTCTATTGAAGAAGGAAAAACGTCAGATCACTGATTCTTTACTTCTTATTTCTATTTCTTATTCAGCATTGTTTGATATTAAGCCTCGTACTTATATGAAACGTGAGATTTTTTGGATCGAGATATAACACGTACCTGGAGCGTAGTGATATATGATGCACGCGCACAGGAATCCCAATGGTAAATTGACTGAGTAAATAAATTGATTTCATATCACCGATGAGATTACACCAGGAATGGTCGTCGACAAACCTATCAAAACGTTAACTGGAAGATAAAGCCATGAAAGCCGTGCGTGTCTTCTTGAAATAAACTAATGCGTTTAATGTATATTGTTTCATTAAAATGTTTGATAGAAATTGATGCATAATTACTTCCAGTAGTGTGATCGCCGGTTTTACCCACTGCTAGAATGTACCCGAAGATACCACTCATCATACAACTCGATAATAAACCCTCTATAAAAGCAAATATACATTCTATTGCGCGGAGTAAACTAAAGTAGCGTAGTAAAGCTATAGAGTAGACAAAACCAACGATCAGGATGAGTGCGCAAACCACCTTCAGAAATATATCATCTGAAAGAACGACAAAGCTACAAATAGGTAAATATTTTACGAAATATTTAGTGTAATAGTGATCTCTCAACGCTGTAATAAATTTATTTAACGAAAGAAAATATTCTTTTAAATATTTCATGTAGAAATATAAAACGCATAAATGTGTAATTTTTCAAATTTTCTGTCAACAAGCTAACATTTTCGCTCAAAAATTTTTTAGTTTTACAAGAAAAAATAAAATCAAACGTACTTGAAACCTGACAACTCTCTGGATAAAGTAAAGGGCTACAGGCATACGTAAAGATCGGGATATAAACCGAGGAGCGATCTTCGTAAGTGGCAACTGCGGCATAAACGGATCCTGTGCCGACATATGCACTGTAGATACGTCTCATAGGGTTCGTAAGAGAGGATGGTATCCACCAAGGAATTCTTAATTATACGCTGATCCCTTTTAAATATAAACCATCAAGTATTAATTATAAAATCGTAACATTTTATAAATAGTAGCCAAGCATTAATCGCCGCAATTATTTCTATTAACAAATTTCTATTACCTTGCATATCGTCACTCTAACAATGCATATTAAAATAAGCAAAAATAGAGCAAAGATCATTGATAGTGATTTTTTTACGATATACATCGGCATTAAAGTATTTGATAAAATTGAAATTTTATTTCGCCAAGCTAGCGTCATAAGATACCTTGTTGCCGTTTTGCGTAATGTCTTGCACGGTCAGCATACTCGTGATCGCCTCGAAGTATGTTTCTGGCGTGAAGTCTTACCCAGGTAAGTAAAGACGGTACATTTTGTGCTCTAACGTTTTATCGCAGGAAATCGGGTGTCCGTTAGCGGCCAGCGCCGAAGCTGGCTGTATATCCACTATTATCGTTTCATTTTTTGTATGCAGCTTTTGATACGGCGCTACCTCAATATCGAATTCCATGTTACATCCACCGGGGATCGGCGCTGCGGGGAACAACAATCGACCAATGAACGACGCCGGTGGATTCTCTCGATAACCAATTTTGCCATTATGCCTGCCGTCGAAAACGGTTAGCTATTCAACCCATTTATCCGCGCGACGGATAATAGAGATGCGCCGCAAATTAATCGAATGCACATCTTGGTGCGACATGCAATTTATTTGTGCTATCGCGATCAATGTAACACGGCTATTTAATTTAGCATAATGTATAATTTTTCGGTCTTTATCGCGCAAATAATGTTTAACACGCAAGACTTGCGATTGTCTTTATAATGTATGGCCATTAATTTTATATTATTTTAATTGGCAGCGTTGTGTCGGCGTTAGATTTCATTCGATTAAACGCTGCTCAAAAAGGAAAGTGCGGCAAAGAGAGAGAGAGAGAGAGAGAGAGGGGTGTGAATTGTTAATTGATATTATTTATACTCATCCTTTCGACCGTATGTGACAATCACGAGCAACATGTTGACGCACTACGTACGTTATCATTCTTCAAGAATGCCTGTATTGGGATTGTTATATTATCGGTTTTAAAGTACAGACCAATGTTTGATCCGAATAAACTTCTGTTCGACACTCTGTCGAGCATCGTTTTGTCGTAACCTATCGTGATATTGTATTGAAACGTATGAACTTGTAGCACAATAAACCAAACATCTGACGGAATACTACAGTGATGGTTGCATGACTGACTGGATTGAATTTTAGTCGTTGTTTGAATACGCTATTCTCTTTATGATTCCATAAAGATACGTCAATGTTTAGGTCAATAATTGATATTATCTGCAATATATGTCGAATACAAATAATTACGTAAATACTTTGTTATTGTACAAAATAACAAATATTTTTTTATGCTTTATTAATCTTTTATTTGCTAGGTCAGGGTTATCTAGCTTATGATGTCACACGAGCAAACAACTTAAATATAGCTTCCTGGATACGAAGCAGAACAAAAAATCTACGTATAATAGTTATCAACCGCCTACGTATTTCATAATTAAATCAATAAAACATCTTTAACCGAGGCATAGCAGATGTAACAATTGTGTGACGGCCGTATATAAAAAAATCAGATGTTTTTTCTTTTGAAAATTGATTAATCGTCATTTACTGGATGCGATCGTTAAAATGTAAAAGCAGCTATTGTCTGCAAGTTGTTTGAACTCAGCCGAGAATATTGAGGTTATGTACGCTTACCAGATGAAGCGGATTCAATAGTCGTATTTTCTAACACCGTCGTTGCGTTATCGGCAAGAAATAACGGCACGATCAATAAAGGGATAACTATATTTCGCTTCATGCTGGCTCACATCACGTGCATTTTACCAATGTATCTTGCTCAAGTCGTTCCTTAGGTGTCACCCGGCGTTTTGGTACAGCATCCGTACAGTGCAACAGCTGTCACTTGACACTCGGCTGTGTACGGCGCGGCGCTCGTAGTACGGCGTTACGCGCGGCCTCGCGCCGTCTCGCTCACTCCATTCATAAGCCACGTGTCCTGCCGTGTCGCCATCTCGCTCGCGCTCATTACGCATTTAAGTCAGTCTAGTCAGTCCAGGTAGCCTCGCCAGGCCGCCGCGTAGCGGCGCGTCAGTCAGCCCAAAGATGGCCACGCTGGATCAATGAAACGCGAGTAATCGTAGTGAAAACACAAATTGACAAGTGCGGGCGAACATCGCGGGCTCGAGCGCGGTGTAAATGGACCATGGGCAAGGATCAGGAGCTGCTCGAAGCAGCGAGGAGCGGCAACGTCACCGTGGTCGAGAAGATTTTGGGCCAGCGAGCCAAGAGGAGTGGTCCATTGGCAAGGTGGGTGTCACCGCGACGAGCACTTTTGCTCGCCGCCGCCTTTCCTCGTTGACGGGAGATCATTTCCGGGTTCACGATTATCCTCGCCGTTCACGGCACCACGACGGTTCGACGGCCGATGTCTCATCCGGAGTCATCGACACGGGCACGACTCTCATCGTCTCGCGCATTCCATTATCGAACCGCCGCCGCATCGTCGTGCTGCTTTCGACGTGTTCCGATTCGCGTCTCGCCGATAAGGTTGCCGCAATGATCCCTCGGCCTACGTACTCACGGTTTGCTTACTGTTTCGCAATTTTCTTCACGGCGATCGATGAAAAAATCCATGCGATCGAAGTTGAACTCCCACGGTGAATGAGCACCCTCATCCTTTTATTTTCTTTTATTATCTTTTTTTTTTCGCACGATGATGCTTCTTACGATAATTCCCTCACGCTCGATCGAACGCACCGTGTCGTCGTTCGATTAATTCGCGGCTGTCGCGATTGACCGCTCGCCAGGATTTCTGCCGTTAGTTCTATACCGTTAATTACACGAATCATTGCCCGCGTTTCCACCTTTAATCTCGGTCGCGAACGTTCGCGTTATCGGAATTCCTGTTTCGATTTTGAGCGTCGATTAAATGACATTTTGGTGTTATGGTATTTAATATAAATGTAAGTAGTTTAATACGCTCAGCATATCTGGCTATATTTTTAGCTACATATACTGACTATATTTCATCGGTTTCTTTTCATCCAATTGTGATCGAATTATCTTAATTACTGTTATTACATTAATTGAAAACAAAGTGAATATAGCGGCTGAGTTTTGTACCGTGTAATTAAGAACATAGCACAATTATGTTGGAACATAATTATACTTTGTGCTGGATCGGCAGCTACATTTCGTTCTACATTCTTATTCACTGGTTGGTTGGTTATTCGTGATTTCACCGTGGCCATGAATCACACCGAGCACATACACTCAGTGACGTTGTATGCAGATGCGTTGATACTGAGCAAGGACTTTGCTATCAATTATCTAAAGTCACACGTTCATGTTTCCTTCTCTGGACTGCTAACGCAAAATAATTAGCGTCGTTTAGCATTTCTATCTTTTTCTTTTTCATGCAGTGTCAAAGAATTATGTAACAACGCGTGAAAATATGTGAAAGGCGAAAATATATAAAAATTTGAAATCTCGTAACATGGGAATATTGCGTGTATGGTTTCTGTATTTCCGCTCGTTGCTCGCAACGCGTTTATCGAATTGCTCTATTTTCTATTTGTGGCAGCAGATAGAGGGATCTATTTGACGAGCGGCTATTTATTTTCAAGAGTCACCGCGATAACGCGCGACGCAATAGGCTGCACGAAGAAACGAAGGGATTCTCGCTTTACCTTTTCACACAGTAGAGACACTATTAAATCCTTCGCAAATGAATTAACGCTAATTGCACGCGGTTTCACGAGCGCGTATATTACCGTGGGAATGCCCCGTAATTTCGCGTTTATTCGCGAGAACGCGCTGACGAATAATCGGATAGGCGCGAGCAAGCGTGTCAAGCTCGACGAAAAAGTTTCGCGCGGAAATAAATTAACGACCGGTGTATACGCAATGTCGTCATTATCAGTAGAATCAGAGTAAAACAATCGTTCATTCATCTATCAAGTGCTGTCGCATGGCTGTGTGAGCGACGCGATATTTGTATTGATTCCCGTAATATTACAATTCTATATAGACTGTTCAAATTTTTGCATAATCACTTTGCACACAATTATTTTAAATGACATAACATCTTTTTCTTTTTTCTATCATCGTGGCAATAAAATTAAAAAATTAATTGTTTTGCTAAATGCTAGCCGATACTTATTTAAATAATATTTAATTGATTAATTCATCAAAAATTTTTAAATGAACTCAATGCTGAACGAATCTGTACTAAGCTTTTCTTTTATCGATTTATTATAAAACTTATATTTCTATGCTTTAAATATGATCGTGTGATTTTCGTAGTTAGGTAAATAATTCTCAGAATTCTGAAAAGACGAAAAAAACAGATGATTCATACTGATACGACTCCGTGCATTATTATTTAGAAGTCATATCATCGTTTTAATATACTTTGTACTATCGCATTTACACAGACGATTAGTCACCGGACGTGTAGAGAGAGTCGATCGAACTCCGAGATGCGAGTCGGAATGAATTTATTATCACGTCGCATCCTCGCCTCATTCAATTACACTGCGATCGCCGATCGTGTCGTTCCGAGCGAGCGACGTTCTCGTAATTAGTGAAACACCATCGTCGACTCGACGGCGCTCTTTATTGACCCAGTGCCACGAACTCCTCGACAAAGACGGACTTTGTCGATGCTTCTCGCTCTCCCATTAATTAAGTCACGCTGCGACGGCGGCACAAGAAGTTCACCGTTTGTTTTTCGAGGGACTCGTGCGTGCATGCGTGCGTGCATGCGTGCGTGCGTGTCACGTGCTACGAGCGTATTCACGCATTTTAAGAGCGATTTCGTCGCCAGACTGGTGCAAAGAGGTAAGAGGCGTCGAGAGTGAGAGAGAAAGAAGGAAATCCTGTTTATTATTCTGGAACAAGTGCCTGCCAGAATAAAGCAAATAAAGATGATATTAACAAATATATACTCTCCTTCATATTTTCCTTGATAAACATCAAAACTCAAAGTAAGATGAATTATAATCGAAAATTATAAGCGAACTTTCCATTTAATATTGATTAAACATTGCTTGAAATTCGATTTTAAAATCGAATTGTGACTCAAGGTATTTAACATAAAAAATTAAAAATAATACATTTGTCATAGAACACACTATGAAAATCAATAACCTAAAAAAAAAATGCGATCAATTTTATTATTATATGTACGAATATTCACACAAATAATTTATGTATGTAAAAAATTGGAAGAAAAAGACAAATTCGCATTTTTTTTAAACGTTTTTTTTGTTAGAAATGAGCAACGATCTCTCAGTATTGTTTCCTAAATATATCACGACGAACGCGCCGCTTCTCTAACGAATTGTCCCTCGTGTCTGCCATTGGTGCCGCGCAACTTGTCCATAACTACAAAGGCAGCCCGCGGCAAAGTTCTCCCGCGCGATCTTCTTTCCTCGTTGCTCCGCGACCTCTTCACCGCCCGACGCGCGTTTGCCTTTTTGCCCTTCTCGTTGAGATCACAGGAAAGCAATATAAAACGCGACCGCCCTGAGAGAGCGTCCCCGAGCCCCTCGGCAACACCCCGGCGGGGGAGGGGGGGGGGAGAGTTGAGAATATTTTGCGATGCTAATCGCGAAGTGGACGCTCCACTTTTCGTGTACGAGCGCCCGCGAATGTGTTTATCCTTTGTTCGCCGCTCGCTGTTGACTTTGTGTTGGTGTGATAATTTGAATCATGATTTCGTGAAAGGACTTGGCAGATTTTTCGGGATGTGATATGAAAAAAATCTAAAATTTCACGGCAACTGATTGATTTTTCATTTATACACGATAAAATCTCTTGCAAATAATTTCGTGGACCGATTAAATGTATCATGATTATAATTCCATGAATTTTAATCGATCGCTTATTAATTTGCTCATGTTACGACTCACACTTTAAGATAGTTTAAAGATTTTTTAAGCCGAATATACATGTGCCTTTTCCTATCGATGAGGAATTAAGTGCAATTTCTTCAAGACTAAACTATATTTAAAGCACTCTGTGTAATGGCATTAAGTGCAAGTGCTTTGGAAGTCTCTTTTTTTTCGTGGCACCTGTCGCCAAGTGTTCCCGAAGAAGGACATTCGGCTACGTCAGCACGTAGGCACGTATCGTACCTCTCTTCTTTGCCAGAGGAAACTATCGATTGATGCCCTAGCACCCCTCACATGTATACACCCTCACAGCTTTCAAGCTTCTCTCTCGCACTCTCGTTCCCTCTCCGTCCCATCTCCCATCCCAACCCTCTCCCTCTTTCTCTCTCTTTCCCTCGCCCTT